AGCTTTCTCCTTACGGTTTTAGTATCACCATGACCCTCATAGATTACAGCCATTGGTATGCTGGTAAATGTTTAACAACTAGCTCTTCAGAAACAACAACAAAAAAATATGCCCCATGACACACTTTTAAGTGTAAATGTATGTAAACATTTTCTCCATAGGTTCTTTACGTCTAGACAATCAACAAAACAATAAATCATACCCTGGCTTGTAGTGTTTTGACAAGTTTCTTGGTTGTAAATGGCAGTTAGTTCTGGCTCCAGCACACCCTTGTAATACATCCCACTACTAAATGCTGCTCCCTTCTAAAATAATTATCTTAAAATTCAAATCATTTGCCATGAGATGATGCAATTAGGAGCTTGGTTTTAATGAAAGCCTCTGTATCCCAAATGCATGACGACTCTCAGTTTAAAATCAAAAACTCAAGTACCAAACTGTTTGTACCGTACAATTGGCTATGGCCAAGCAGATACATACTAGCCAGTTTAAGGCCACTCTGTCTTTGTTGGCATGTAAATAAAACCCTGTGTTTACCATTTAAAGCCCCTTCAGACTTATCTTCCAGGCAAAATGACCTATTTGCCATCCCCTTTGCACAAGGTTGCCCCCTATGCCCCCAGTCACTGTGCTGGGGAAACAAAGAAAGGCAACCAGTCTCTGTCCTCAAGAGTTGCAAGTCTAACGGAGGAGACAACATGCAAACAACTCCCCTCCCCTGCCTTTCCCCACCACCTCTTGGCATCCCAAACTCATGTCAAAACTCAGTTCAATTACTACCTCTTCTACAAAGTACACTAAATCTTTCCTAAATCCCCCAGTTGTTAGCAACTCCTCCTCCCCAAATTACTTTGTAAATATTTTATATTGACTTGTGTGTTTCTTCACAGTAAAATATAAACTTCTTAAGGAGTGGGATTATGTTCATTATTGTCTTTATGCCCCTGGTGCCTAGCACCTAGTACATTGTTTGTGTGTAATAAATGTTAACTGAGTAGAACTCTCTGGAAATGAATAGGTCTCAGGGACAACTTCCATCTCCAGTAGAACAACCTGATTAAGACATTTGGTCCTGTTAATACCAGCAACACAAACCTGTAATTTTGGATAAAAAATTAAACAATGTCTTCTCTTTATTTCCACATGAAATCAGTTCTGTAGCCAAGAATCTGGGGAAGGCTAATAGAGGTTCACTTGAAGGTAGACACATGCTTTTAAGGCCTAGCTGTGATAATAATAGTCGCAAGCCTTAAGATCACAGTGAATGTCTTCATGAGAAGGCTAGATACTCTAGTACCTTTTTTTTTTTGGTGAGGCAGTTGGGGTTAAGTGAGTTGCCCAGAGTCACACAGCTATTGAGTTTTATGTGTCCGAGGACAGATTTGAACTCAGGGGTCCTCCTGATTCCAGGGCTGGTGCTCTATTCACTGAGCCACCTAGGTGCCCCCCGGTACCATTTTTGTAGTCAAAGATGGAGAACTCCAGGTAAATCTCAAAGGAGGTGACAGGATTTCTAACTGGAAGCTTTTTGCTCATGGGTCAATCATCGCGAAATGTTTGAAGAAGTCCCTACATATGCCTATTGGGTATTTTGTATCTTCTCTGAGCTTAGCAATAATACTGCCTGATTTTGAGAGATGACCTTAGTGGCTAAATGAGACAATCTTCACTATTCTGATATTGGTGTAGGGTGTCTGCACTGCTAATGAACTCTCCATAATAATGCTTTAAAAGCTCTCACTATGTAGCTATAGTATACTATAGCATAGTATATATAGATACTGCTATAGCTATAGGACTGAGTCTCTCTTAAGCACTGACCGTCACAGGAGAAAGAGTCCTCTAGATTGTGAGCTCCTGGAGGACAGGAGCCTCTTTTTGTGTTCCTAATGCTTAGCACAGTGCGTGACACATAGTAGGTGCTTAATAAATTGCTTAAATCAACGTTAATAAATGTTGATTCACTGGTTGATTGAGTGGAGGAATTGTAGGTAAGAGAATCTGCTTTTACCTGACCATCACCATTTAACATGGTTCTCTGAGTACCATTTATAAGAATCACCATGTAGGGGCAGCTAGGTGGCACAGTGAATAGAGCACCAGCCTTTGAGTCAGGAGGACCTGAGTTCAAATGTGGCCTCAGACACTTGACACTTACTAGCTCTGTGACCCTGGGCAAGTCACTTTACCCTGATTGCCTCAACCCCCCCCAAAAAAAAAGACTCACCATGTGTGATGACTTATCTCCAGTGTATCTGTGTCTGGATGGGGACCCCAGATATATAATATCTCTGTTCCTAAACACCTGAGAAATTGAGGCCAGGGTGAAGAGAAGGGAATAGCACACAATAGATGTCTTGTTCTTAATAAAGTAGGAGACAATTCTGTCTTTTGAGCAAGGGAGAACTTAATGACTTTAGAGTGGGAAAAGTAGGAATCCTCATGGGGATTCATCTGGAGATGAGTAGAAGTTTGGCTTCCTGGATGAAGAATTCAAAGAGTTATGGGGATATGTGTATAATAGGAGCCAAGGTGTCTCAGTAAAATATTGATTCTTCTGTTATATCAACACTCAAGGAATGCTTGTTAATTTGTTGATTCATAATTTGTTTTGTGCAAAATTATTGGAGATGATTATTCAATTGGTCATCCAATAAAGTGTTTATTAAGCATCTACTGTATGCCAGGCAACAGGAATACAAAGACAAAAACAAAATTGCCCTTGCCCTCAAATTTAAATTCTACAGTAATAGAAACATGTACAAAATAATCAAAAAGCATTTATTAAGCACTTAGAGTGTGCCAGGAATACAGTGAAAGATAACAGTGCCTACTCTAAGGATATAGATAGGAAGTGATCTGAGAGGGGAAGGTACTAGCAGCTGGGGGAGGGACCAGAAAAGGCCTCTTGTAAAAGTTAGGATTTGAGCTGAGACTTGAAGGAAGCCAGGAAAGAGATGAAGGTGAGGAAGACAAGCATTCAGGTATGAGGAATGGCCAGTTAAAAGGCATAGAGCCAGCTAGATGGCACAGTGGATAGAGCACCAGCTGTGGAGTCAGGAGGACCTGAATTCAAATGTGGTCTCAGACCAAACACTTGACGCTCACTAGCTGTGTGACCCAGGGCAAGTCACTTAACCCCAATTGCCTCAGGGTGGGGAGACAAATAAGGGTCTAGAGCCTAAAGGTAGTGTTGTATTCACAGAACAACACATAGGCCGGTGTAACTGGATCATACAGTATTTGTAGGGGAGTAAGTATAAAGAAGACTGGAAAAGTAGGAAGAGCCCAGGGGTCAAAAAAGAAAACTTTTTACTTTCTCTTGGAGGTTACAAGTTAACCTTAGAGGGGGGAGCTGCGCTAGTGTCTGGGGGCCAGGAAGAAGTTTTGTCCAAGAGAACCTAGTCCTGAGTATGAAGGGAAACCAGGGTCCAACAGTTTAGGTAAGGAGGAAGAGCATTGCGCAGGCATGGGGGACACCTGGTGCAGAAGCACAGAGATGGAAGATGTAGAGTGGTGTATGAGGAACAGCAGGAAAGCCATTATGGCTAGAAGGTAGACTGCATGGAGGAGAGCAGCATGTCAAACGACTGGAATGGTAGGTTTGAGTCAGATTGTGGTGAACTTTAATTTGCCAAAAGAGGAGTTTATATTCTAGAATAAGACTAGAAATAGTAAGGTGCCACTGGAGTTCATTATAAAGTACACAGGGTGATGTGTGCATGAGACCCACATTTTAGGAAAATTACTTGACTTGTTGTTTGGAAGATGGATTAGAGTAGTGAATTAAGGAAAGAAGAGAGAGGGTATGAAGGCCTAAACTAGAGTGATGTGTGTGTGAATGAAGACAGGGAGACATATGTGAGAGATAAGGAGATTAAAACAAGGTGAGGCAACTGATTGGATATTTGGGGGGTGAATGAGGAATTGAGGATTACACCAAAGTTGAGAAGCAGGGTGACTTGAATAGTGGTGTTTTCAACAGTAATGAGGAGGTTCAGAGAAAAGGTAGTTTTGGTGGAAAAGATAATAAGTTCTGTTTTAGACTTAGTAAGTTTGAAATACCCATGGAGTATCCAGTTTGAAGTATTCAGTAGGCAGTTAGTGATGTGGGAGTGGAGCTCAGGAGAGAAACCTAGGTTGGAGATATATGTAGATATGTAGCTATATATCCCACTTGTATGTATAGTATATATAATATGCATAGGGATGGTAATTGAACTGGAGTTGGTGAGATCTGCAGGAGAGAGCATATAGATGGAAAAGAAGTGCTTTCTGAGATCCTTTCTTTGCCAGGTTGATTCAAATATCTTGTGGTTTTCTAATGGTAAAATGCTCTATTTGATGAGCTTTTTTTCCCTTTGTAGTGCCATTGAAAATTAAATACCATGCCCTGTTCTGCAATGTTGTGTTTATTTTTTTTTTATTCCCTTAGGCAGTATTCACAGTTACATTTAGAGAGCTAAATGCTTATTTAAGTAATGAATATGGAGTGAGAATTAAGTCTTATCCTTGATACATTCTGTTAATTTTCAAATAGTTGCTGTAGTTGGTCTATACTTCACAGTCTGCTTTACCAGCATCACCTAAATGAAATCTGTGAGAAGTGGATAGAGTAAGGGATACCACATTCGTGATCTTCCAGGAAAAAACCAAACTTTTCTGTCTTCTTGCCAGCTAATATTTCTCATACCTTAAAAAATAACTGGTCGTTGATTTATGAACATGTGAACAGACAACTGAATGATGAGGCCTTTTTATTAACCCAAAAGGCGACCCTGACAGCCCCGCATTTAATCTTAGCACTCTGTATTCTGAGGACCAAAAGTCAGTTGGCTATGAATTCAACATTTTTTTCCAATAGCCTAGTGATTGCCTGTTCATAGTTGACTAGGGAACCCCTTAGGGATGGTTTGGGTTATTGATTCATTAATCTTATTTGTAACAAAATAATCTTTAAGTGTCAAAAAGCCAAACATTCTCATCTTTTTTCCCAACAGCCTGGAATTGTGTCGCCATTTAAGCGAGTTTTTCTAAAAGGAGAAAAAGGTCGGGATAAGAAGGCCCATGAGAAGGTCACAGAAAGACGCCCTCTTCATACTGTGGTGCTATCTCTGCCTGATCGAGTTGAACCAGATATACTGTTGAATGACTATATTGAAAAGGAAGTGAAGGTAAGTGGTCATGGAAACAGGAAATAATTGCCCTTTTAATTCTTCACCCAAACTAATTTATTATGTGTGCAAATGGACTTTCAAGACAAGAACAGACCTTTTTTTTTTTAAAACCTCAGTTGATCCTGTAATTTCATAGTCATATTTTAACAGCAAAGCCATCCCTCAAAAAAACAATTGCAAATTATGTAAAGTGATTACTGTCCCCCTGCCCATCCTTACTCTGCTCAAAGGCCAGGTATGTTACATTTCCCACTTTCCTCACAGTTCTTTGATACCTTCAAGGGGGTTTAGTGATGTCCGATATCTGCCATCGGCTCACCACCAATAATATTCCCTCAGTTTTGGGAGGGGTCCCCAGTATCCTTGTTCCATTTAATTACTTAATAGTCAAATTACCTTTCACAAAGGAATATTTACTTTAAAAGTATAGCAACTATAGGGGCAGCTAGGTGGTACAGTGGATAGAACACCAACCCTGAGGTCAGGAGGACCTGAGTTCAAATCCGGCCTTCGACCAAACACTTGACACTTACTAGCTGTGTGACCCTGGGCAAGTCACTTAACCCCAACTGCCTAAAAAAAAAAAGTATAGCATCTACATGGGGCATAGTCCTCACCCCAACTCACTCTCTGGGGAGGGGAAAGGAATTAGTTTAACAGTTGAATTTAATTCTTATTTGGCGTGGTCTCACCAGGTTCCCAGTTGAAAGTCCGGCATGTCTGGCAACAACATCCAGACTGGGATCCTGCCTCTGAGGTCGCCATGGCTTGAACTCCCAGGTCCTGGGACTCCTCTGACTGCCCCCAGAACTGAACAGGACAGTTGAAACAGACCAAAACACAAAGCTTATTTCCCAGGGTCTAAAGGAGGAGGTATGGAGAGAAGGTCGTCTTTTCCCCACACCCAGGTCAAAGAGTAGTCAACTAGATAAAAGAAAAATACTATTGCTAAGAAATTTATGCTTAAAAGGAAATTAGGCCCTTCTTAATAACTGTAGCTATTAAACTTAGAAAAGAAGCTTGATCTGTTCCCTTTCCCCTGTCCTACTTAGATCATATTTTTTAAATCTATGTTCATATTTCTAGAATTCATATCATTTAGTCAGTCATTTATCCAACAAATATTTATTAATCACCTACTAGCCACAGCTGTTTAGCTTGACTTGCATAGCCTTCTGAATTGATCATTTCTGTTGAATTTTATCACTGGTAGAGATAATGGCTGGTAACTCACATTTGTGGATCTAAATTCAGGATGCTCCTTGATAGACTTCAACCTCATCCTGTTTGTGTTTTGCTTTTACTTCATCTTCAGTTGCCTATTAGACATTTTAAACTGGATGACCTAGAAATGTCTTAAACTCACAAAGTCTAAAACTTGACTCATCATATTTTCCTCCCTAAACTCTTTCCTCTCCCAAACTTCCCTGTTTCTGTCAAGATACCACCATCTTTCCATTCTCTCAGGATTGTAATCTTGACATCATTCTCAACCCCTCATTCTCTCTCACCCCACATATCCAGTCAGTTGCCAGATCCTCCCATTTTTACTTTCACGCTATCTCCATCCAACCCATTTGTTCCACTCCCACAGCTACCACAACTCTTGGCTTCCCAGCTTTCCCGGTGCTTGGAAAAAAACTGAGGGGTGGAGGGTTGGAGGTCATGGTGAGGATGAAGAACAGGATTTGGAGTCACAAGGCAGAGGGAGAGATGGAAAGACATCAGATTATGATCAGATAAAGGAATTTCAGAGTTAATGAACATGATGAAAGTGGTGTTATATCTATGAAAGAAAGAGTAATAGAAGTTACATCATAAATCCTTAGAGAACTTAGGAAAAGCTTTTGCTGATTTATTCCATTCTGTTTTTAAAAAGCCACCTGCTATGAACATTATTTCTCATAGGAAGACTCACCATTGTACTCTTTGGATTTCTCATTGCCACTGGTACCATACTTATTTTTGGGTGTTTCATACCCAGATCCAGGCAGCTTTCCAGGAGCCTCTTGGTGGTTCTTGAACTCGGGGTTGATCATTAGCCTTTAGTAGAAGCATCACATGTTGACCTCCCAACTACCAAACTGTGTAACACAGACACTGTGATATGTGAACCTTGCTATTTCATGCAACAACAAAGTAGCCTAGTGGGTCTCATGTGGTAGATACTTAGAAAGTCCTGCATGTACATGGCACCATTATCAAGATCACCTGATCTTTAATTGTCTGGGATCCAGAGGAGATTGAAAAGGAGGAATAGGCAGCAGTGGCGGAGGTAGAATTTCAGGGTGAATGAATGGTCCCAAAGAAGTCTGACATCTGAGCAGTGCATTCAGCCATTCCCTACTCATTGTAGCCTTTATTCTGCTACTGAAGGCTGGTCTTCAGCTTCAGGGGCTCAGGCCAGCAAGTGGATAGGAACCACTGTAAAGTAATTTCCAAGGAACCAGGAGTCACAGGAGATAGAACACAAGACTTCTAAGACCCAATTTCAAATCATCCATCAGACTCTTACTAACTGTATGACCCTAGGCAAGTCACTTAACCCTCTTTCAACCTGTTTCCTCATCTGTAAGATTAGTCAATAAGCACTTATTAAGTGTTTTATTATTATTAAGTTTTTAAGTGTTACTGTGTGCCAAGCACTGTGCTAAGGGCTGGGGTTACAAAGAAAGATTTTTTTTAAAATGCTGCCTGCCCTCAAAGAGTATACATTTGAATGGAGGAAAAAGCATGCAGATAACTAGGTACAGATGTAATATATACAGAGTAGATGGAAGTTAATCTGAGAAGGGAAGGTGCTAGCACTTGAGAGGGACCAGGAAAGGCCCACTGCAGAGGGTGGGATTTGAACTTAGTGTTAAAGGAAACCCTAACCTTGTTCTTTATTGTCATCATGCCCTTCAAGACACAGTGCCACCCTCAAAGGTGGTGTGTGAGGTTTAGCAAACGCAATAAAGTGAATGATCATTTTCTGCTGAAGAGGTATGGAAGAAGTCAAATAGAGACCTAACCGAACTAATGAGAAAGTTAGATGGGCTGTCTTTTCTTGGAGGATGCATATGACGGAATCTGCCAGAGTTAATCAGATCTACCCCAGCCACTGCCCATTTCTGCTGGTTGTCTTGGGAATGAATGACATAGCACGAAGGCAGGAAAAAATTTTAAATGTAACTCCAGTGAATTTGAAATCCTGGGTTAGGAAATTTAAGGACTTGGGGCAAAGTAGAGAATGGCAGAAATAAGTAATGGGTTCATCTTCCAATCAAAGATTGTGGCCTTAGAAGGTAAAGGGTATATATGAGCAGTGAAAAACTGGCTACTTAGCATCAAAGAGCAGGATTGGGAAAATGACAGTCTTCTAGTGAAGGGTAAAGTTCATAATAATGATGACAACTTAGTTGTGTACAGAACTTTGTAATTACAAAGTCCTTTATTTCATGCAAGCCCCCCAGTGGACCTGTAAGATGGGTGGTGTAGGTATTATCCCCATTTTATAGATGAGGAAACTGAAACTCAAGAGAGTTAAATGGGTAGCCCAGGATCATGGAACTAGTTAGTGATAGAGATCAGAGTTGAAGCCCAATCTTGTGACTCTTCTATCCAGTGCATTTTCTTCTCTGCTATACTTTTCCCCTAGTGCATCCTCTGAAGACTGGGAAGAACATGTTTGGCAGGTATGACTATAAGGTTATAATCAGCTGTAGAGAATTATATTTGAAAGTCCACCTATTTCCCCTCTTATTTTTAGCAAGACTATCTTCAATATGTGTGTAATCATTTTTATAACATTATAACATCTTCTCAGAGAGGTTAGTGATTACTAAAGAAATAACCATTGGAGAGGCAGCTAGGTGGCACAATAGATAGAGCACCGGCCCTAGAGTCAGGAGAACCTGAGTTCAAACTTGGCCTCAGACACTTGACACTAACTGTGTGACCCTGGACAAATCACTTAACCCCAATTGCCTCACATCCCAGATAAATAAATAAACAAACAAACAAATAAATAACAATTGGTATACATACTGATGACAGTTGGCGCGTAGAGATGAAAAAATGCCTTTTGTAAGACTGTGACATGCATTAGGAGTGCCAATATGCCAAGTTATTCCTCAGTATATAAAATCTGACAGACGTACTTCAGATGGACAGTGAATTGGATCCAGAATTGAACAGGAGAAGGAGAGCAGGCTGGCTTGCATTTGGAAAATTGTAATGTGTTTGTAACAGGCCCAAGCTACTCTCTGGCACAAAGACCCCATTTTTATGTCCTCCCGTTGATATTTTGTGGTTATAAATCCTATAACATTACACGCAGGTTCTGAAGAATCAGAAATGTAAGTAACCCATAAAGTGATGGTGAATGTTCGGCATAAGTAGGCTACAAATGATTTCCAGTGACTACATATGTGCAAGAAATAACATAAGGACTATCATTGAGGAAATATATGTTTGGGACAATCGTGTCAAGAGTTGGGGATACCAGTTGATAAATGGTCAAATGATATGAACAGGCAGTTCTCAGATGAAGAAATTAAAGCCACCTATAGTCATATGAAAAAATGCTCTAAATCATTATTGATTAGAGAAATGCAAATCAAAACAACTCTGAGGTACCACATAACACCTATCAGATTGGCCAACATGACAAAACAGGAAAATGATACATGTTGGAGAAGATGTGGGAAAATTGGAACACTAATGCATTGTTGGTGGAGTTGTGAAATGATTCAACCATTTTGGAGAACAATTTGGAACTATGCCCAAAGGGCTATAAAAAAATGTGCATACCCTTTGACCCAGCAATATCACTTCTAGGGCTGCATCCCAAAGAGATCATACAAATGGGAAAAGGACCCACATGTACAAAAGTATTCATAGCAGCTCTTTCTGTGGTGGCAAAAAATTGGAAATTGAGAAGATGCCCCATCAATTGGGGAATGGCTGAACAAGTTGTGGTATATGAATGTAATGGAATACTATTGTGCTGTAAGAAATGATGAACAGGCTGACTTCAGAAAAACCTGGAAAGACTTGTATGGTCTGATGTTGAGTGAAGTGAGCAGAACCAAGAAAACGTTGTACATAATAACAGCCACATTGTGCAATGACTAATATTGATAAACTTAACTCTTCCCAGTAATACAAGCATCTAAGACATCTCCAGAGGCCTCGTGATGGAAAATGCTGTCCACATCCAAAGAAAGAACTATGAAAGTTGAATTTCTACTCTTTTTTCTCTTCTACTGAGTTTTGTTTCCTCTTTATGATGGTTCCTCCTGTTGGTTTTAATTTTTACTTACAACACCACTAATGTGAAAATATGTTTAATAGGAATGTAAATGTATAGCCTATATCAGATTGTGTGCCGTCTTGGGGAGGGTGGTAGGGAGGAAGAGGGAGAAAAATTTTAAACTCAAAAGCATATGGAAGTGATTATTGATAAATCAAAATAAATTAATAAAAAATTTTTTAAAAGTTGAGGATGACATAAACAGTCTGATTGTTTTACTGCTATCCATAAAATGTAAAAAGACCTAGAGGAAGATCTCCAGCCTGTTGAGATGGTCTCTGGAAGAATACAGACAAGCCAAGAGGCATGGATGAATTGTGATGGGCTCCATTGGAGGGAATATCAACATGTTCAAGTTCATATTGAAGTAAAGGATTTTCTGATGAACGTTGTGTTAGCTGCATACTGTCACAGGTATACTCTTGTGTATGGGATTCATGGCATAGATAGTTGAGAGTGAAAAGGAAAATAATAAAATTGCTTTCCTATGGCAAGACTTTTAGTTTGCTTACAAGTGATCCCTGTGATGGGTCTAGCTCCTAATTTTGTAATATCTCAGCTAGGAGTCTGGCTTTTTATCTCCCACTTACTGATTGTTGATTAGGACAAAAGCATTTGATTTATTCAAACAAAACACCACCTTACAGGCTATCTTCCAACAAAGTATATATCCCATGTGTGAATCTCTTGAAAATTATAACAGAAAAAATCTTGTTTAGTCATCTGATCATTAATTAATATACTCACTAAAGGTGGTCGTCACCTGCATGAATGAGGCCCAGTCCAGAAACTGAGTTAAAGGAAGAGAGGGATCCTCCAGATGCTTCTGTTTGTAGATGACCTGATGCTGGGAGGCCATGGACAAGAGCTACAGAGGATGGGCATGTCCACATCAATAGATTTACATCAATTGATCCACAGTATTATTCCTCATTGTAACTGTACTTTTCCAATTCTCAGAAGATGAACTTGACTACAGCTAAAGATTATGTTGTTGTCTCAATGCCTTCGTCTTCTCTCTCTTCCTCAAAATTTCCCAGAATCCTAGAATCAGCAATGTTAGAACTGGGAAGGATAGGCCAACCCCTCATCTTACAAATGAGGAAACTGAGATCCAGAGACACAGTAATTTTTCCAGGGTCCCACAGCAAGACTGGTGCTAGAGCACAGGCCTCCAGGCTAGGCACCTCAGGCTTTCCTCAGCTTCAGTCCACAGCATCTCTGCCTCCCCTGCTCTTCTCTCCTGTGTCAAAGTTAGAAATGTGTGAGTAGCAATGTGACATAGTGGGCAAAGCTCAAGACTTGGGACCCAACCATCTGGCTTAGACTCTGCCTCTCAGAGCCTCAGTTTTCCAGTCTATGAAATGATATTTGCATTAGCTTCTTCACCCCGTTACTGTGGGCAATGTGCTTGGCAAACCTAAAAACACTCTATAAAGGTAGGTTGCTATTAGAAGTGTTCCCCTCTGAATGCTTTCTAAACCTTACCTGTCAGTTATCTTGGATCTCTTATATCCTTAAACTCTTTCTGACAATTGACTTTTCCTTTGCCTGTGAATGTTATTGTCCTCTTTATCCTAACCCCTGCTCCCCAAAAAAGCTCTTCCTTTGTCTCTGATCTCCCCCCTGACACACACAAGTAGTAGTCTAATCTGCTTCCTTTCACTGCCAGACTTCTCCAGTGTTGTCTGTATTCATTGTTTCTACTTTCTCTCCCACGGCTTACTTCTTAACCCTTTGTGATCTGACTTCCAACTCCACTATTTTACATAAACTGTTGTTAAAGGTCACTAGTGATCCCAGTCAGCGTTTCAGATGGTAGAAGTGGGGCAAGGGTTGGAAGAAGGGAAAGAGAACAATCATTCATCAGTTGCCTACTCTATGGTAGGCACTGTGTGCTTATTATCTCATCGATCCTCACCTTGTGAGGTAGGTAAAAGTATGATCCCCAGTTTTGCAGATGAGGAAATTGAGGTAGACAGAGGTTAAATGACTTGTCTAGGGTCACTCAACTAGTAAGTATCTGAGGCTGGATTTTAACTCAGGTGTCGACTCCTAGCCCTGTGTTCTTTCCTCTGGGCCATGTAGCTGCTCTGGTTCGTGGGGGCCTATCATTTACTTAGGCCCAGTCTTCTATTTTCCACAGTCATTTGCCAAATTTTGTTGAGCCTACCTCCCTGTGATAGCTTTTGAATCTGTTTACTTCTTTTGCCATCACCATCATGTCAGACCCTCATTACCTCTCTCACCTGAACTGCTGCAATATTTTTGTAACTAGCTTCCTTCCCTTCAGTCTCCCTCCTGCATATAGCTGAGATCATGTCAGAAACCTTCAGTGGAAAGGCAGGCACATGAATATTCTGTTGGTGTAACAAGTTGGCTCTAGCCATCTTAAGAAATAATTTAGAATTATATGATAAAAGCCATCCATTAATCCCGTTCCTGGGCATATACAACAAGGAGGTAAAAAACAGAAGTACCTTCACATATACCAAAATATTTCTAACAATACAGTTTGTGTTAGCAAAAAAGGGGGGAAACAAATTAGGCATTGTGTGAACATACAGGAACTACAGAACCATAGATTTAGAGGCTGGGAAGGGCCTTAGACATCATTTAGTCCAACTCATTCAACTGAAGCCCAAGGCAGACAAGTGACTTGCCTGAAGCTCACACAGGTACTAAGTGGCAAAGCTGAACCCCAAGCCCAGACCTTCTGACTTTCCAGTGCTTTCTTCAACACCTCCTTGGGATTGAGAGAAACTTGGGCAGCTGCTCTGAATGAATTCAGAGTTTAAAAGAATCAGGCGAGTGATATATGTGACTGATCATGGAAATGCAGACAGCAAGAGGTGGCCAGATTGATTGTTTGTACTGCTCAGTTTTAGGCCCTACCTAGAACAGAGGCAGGAGTCCACAGCTGGGAAAATTTGTCAGAATGTAGCTGCTGTACTGGACACCTGTGTAGAGGTGTTTCTTATACATGAGGGCTTGACATGGGGAGACACTGGAAAGCTGTAGTGGTATCAATAAAACTTCTTAAAACCTTGAGGAGCACCCTATTGTTTACTGAACCACATTTTTTAGTATATCATAGTACTTATAGGTCCTCTGGTACAACCCCTTCATTTTGTAGACCAGGGCTTCTTAAACTTTTTCCATTTGCTACCCCTTAAGGGCTTCTTAAACTGCAGGTCGAGATATAGGGTTGTGATTTGCAGATTAAGAAGCGCTGTATAGATCATGGGCACTTTTCAACTTGGCCTTAATGTTCTTTCTTTTTTAAAAAATTAAATAGAAGTTTTTTCAGTCAGTGAAAATCCACCTTCTCTCCTTCCCATTTCTTTCCCCCTCCACTGAAAAAGAAAGAAAAACAATAGCCCTGTTACAAATGTAGGTGGACAGATAGCTATAAATATATGTTTGTGTGTATGTAAACATACATATATACATATGTACATTTATCCACATATGTATATTCAAGCAAAATAAATTTCTGAACTGGCCATGTCCAAAAAAATGCCTCAATCTGTGCTCATGAGAGGATGAGGAGTATGGCCACATGGCTACAACTTTCCATATATACACCTCATTACTTTTCCATCATTCAGTCCAACCAAACTGAACTATTCATTCATTATTTCTCACCTTCATCCTGTACTTGCTCGCCTCAAGGCCTATGCCTATATTATTTCAGCTATTTCCAATTTCTTAACACTCATTACTGAATGTCTACCAATCCTTTAAAGCTTAGCTAAAATTTTACTTCCTCCATGTCTTCTTTTCTGATCCCCCAGCCGGAAGAAGTCGTTTTCTTTGTATTTTTCTTACGGCACCCATTTCTGAAATTCTCCTGGTCATTTAAGGCTTAGATCTCTTTTATGGCAGTCTGAAGGCAGTCTTCCTTGTTTTATAGTTACACTAATATTTCCCCAATAAAGTCTTTTTTAGTTACTTGAAAAGATATCCATATCTTTTGTTTTTATATCACTTTAACTTCTAAAGTAGTCCTCTTCTCTCCCCCCAACTTAATGAGTCATCCCCTCTACAGAAGATAAAAAGAAAAACAGTTTACTTAAACTAACCAAGTCTGATAGTAAATGAAATGTCCAACTAGGTTTAATTAAAGCTCCTTAGGAACAAAGACTGTCTTATTTATCTTTGTGTCCCCTTTCTCTAGAAAGGATTTTCAAACAGAGGGCAGTGTTGAGGCACATGATATAACTTATAAACCTTGAGGACCTTCAAAGAAGAACAAGAGTAAAAGATATCATCAAGGAAGATAAGATGGGTTGGCCATGTGGCAAGACAAGGAATAGCAAGTGGACAACCACATTGCTCCTCAGGTATCCTTTCAATGCTGGGAGAAAGCAAAGAAAGGTCTCCAGTGTGTTAGACTTAGCACAATGGCACATAGTAGGTACTTAATAAATATTTATTGACTGACCAACCGACAGGTGGAGGACCGAGGCAAGAGTTGCATAGGATGGGCAAACATGAATGGATTATGATCTGCATTACTGGAAGAGACTACCAAATTAATGAAATCTCAGATCCATTACAGTATTTTATGAATGTCTGTCAAGCCCATTTGATTTTAACTCACAACAACTTAGTGTTTTCTGTAAACTTATTAACATTTCATTTCATTGATTTAGTCAATTAAAATTTGAGTGCCCTCTTTATAAAAGAGACTGTCTTTAGTATTATGGGGAATGTAAAAATGAATGACTGCTCATTCAGAGCTAAAGATAATAGAAGAGATAAGGTAAATGAGACTATAGCCAAGAAACAATAAAGGGGCTCTTTTAGCTATGTTTAGTACAAAACATGCAAAGAAATTCTTGAAGTAGATATTGTATTCTTTTTATTTTATGTTATTCTGAACTTGACAGACATCAACAAGTATGACTGTTATATACTTTTTTTTTATCGTATTAAACAGAAAAAGAGTAATGTGTATGAAGCCACAGATCTCTATGTACAGCTTGGGTTTTTCAAAATATAAAAAAATCCAACATATTAGCTCCCAGATTATCCTGCTTGTCTCCCTCTGGACCCTTCTGAGCCTTTTTCAAAATACTGGATATTCTTTCCTTTCTTTTATTTATTTATTTTTTGCGCAGGGAGATACATCATTATCAACCCCCTCCCTCCATAATTCCTCTCACACAAATTTTTTTTTAAACTATTCGTTGTAAGCATAGTTCAGCAAAACAGATCCATGAAAGGAGTATATTTAAAATATAGGTCTCGTCCTATACCTCTGGTCTATCATCTCTCTGTCAAGAAGTGAGAAGCATACTTCCTCATTTTCCTCACCAAGCTTCTGAAGTAATAGTTAGTCACTTCATTGATCAGAATTCTTGACTCTTTCAGAGCTATTTTTCTTTCATTATTTAGAGTGTTTGCCTACTTCTGCTCTCTTCGTTCTGCTTCCATCCATAGATGTATTTGAAAGTTTCTGTGAATTTATCTTTTTTGTCATTTCTGATTGCCCAGTGATATTTCATCACTTCTCTATGCCATAATTTGTTCAGCCAAAGCCAATTGATAGGTACCCCCTAATTTCCAATTATTTGCTACAATAAAAAGTGCTGCTGTGAATATTTTTTTACATGTAGGTCCTTCTATTCTTTGATTTCTTTAGGTTATTTCCCAGCTTAGTGACTTTTGGGGTATAGTTCCAAATTGCTTTCCAGAATTTTTTCCTCAGTTAACTTTCCCTTATTTTAGCCACATTAATTTTGTTTGTGCAAATGCTTTTTCATTTTATGTAATCACAGAATTTGAGTTAAAGGGGACCTCAGCAACATCTAATCCTACTCATATACAAAAGGAATTCCCACTATAACAAACCAAACAAGTGATCCTCTAGCCACTGCTCAAAGACCTCTAAGAAGGGGGGAGGGAATAAGGATTGATTAAGCATCTGTTGTATGCCAGGTACTGTGCTAATAAGCGCTTTACCAGTATTATCTCATTTGATCCTCACAACCCCATAAAGTAGGTGCTATTATGATCCTCCTTTACAAAGGAAAAAACTGAGGCAGACAGAGGTGAAGTGGCTAGTATGTGTTTAGGGTCAAATTTGAACCTGTCTTCCTGACTCCTCAGCCAAGTACTTTATCCTTTGTACCCCCTGAGCACAGCACCCCCAGAACCATCCGTTTCTCTCTTTTGGTAGTGCTGATTGTTAGAAAATTTTTCCTAACATCAAACCTAAATTTGCCTCTTTGCAGCTCACACCCATTATTCCTATTCATTTCCCTGAGGCCTAACAAAATAAGTCTTCATTCCTCTCCCATGTGATAGCCCTTCAAAGTCAAATACCTCCCCTAAAGTCTTCTTTTCTCAAGACTAAATGTGCCCGGTTCCTTCACCATATCCTCATACACGTATGTCATGGGCTGGAGGCCGTTCACCATTCTGCACATTCTTCAGTTTACCAATATCTTTTAAAAATTGTGGTGCCCAAAACAAAATACAGTACTTGAGATGAGGCCTGATGAGAGTAGAGGACTGTGTGGGATTATCACCTGCCTATCCCAGGGTGCTATGAGTGAATCAAAGAACAGATAGTGTAGTAGTTGAAACTGACTGAAGTTAGAGAAGGCATTTCAAGCCCTTCTCAAACTAACCTTCCCAACCTTTTGTCAGATGAATCTTTCACATGTTTAGAACCTCACTCCCTCCTCATCTCTGCCAATCAGAATCTTGATTTCGTTCAAGGCTAAGCTCTGGTCCCAATTTCTCTGTGAAGCCTTCCCTATCTTCTTGTTAGTACTTTGCCTCCAATTACCTTCCATGTCCTTGAAAGCATATATGGGGTGAGAAGATTTAGAACCGACAAAGTCACCTGCCCAAAATCACAAAGGCATCTTGTATCCCCCAAGTAGGCAGATACTCTTGAGGCTGATGGCTATTTCATTTGTGCTATGGCATGCCCATAATCTACACAGGGCTTTGCCCTTAGTAAGTACTTAATATGTATTTGCTGAAATGAATAAAACTGCTCTGGAAACTCCACAATAGGGCTATTGCTATAATCTCTAAGACAGAAAAGCAGTGAAAACCATGAAGAACAGCAAACTACTAGGACCTAACCCTAGCATAACTGCTAGTGTGTTTGAGGGCAGGAGGTGTGAGCATCTACTTTGGTTTTGGTTTGTTTGGTGTTTTGGTTTTTTTTTTTAACTTTGGTTTTTGAATGGACTTTAACATGTAGATTTTGGGGGGGAAGTGAGGCAGTTGGGGTTAAATGACTTGCCCAGAGTGATGTGTCTGAGGCGAAATTTGAGCTCAGGTCCTCTTGACTCCAGGGGTGGTGCTCTATCCACTGCTTCACCTAGCTACCCCTAACGCATAGATTTTAAGGAAATGTCACTAACTTCGGTGTCTGATAGTGACAGCTTTCAAAATCCACCCCTTCCCATACATCATCAAATAATATAATGCATATAAGGTGCTTTGCAAATGTTGAAGTGCTACATAAATGCCAGCTCCTTGGCCAGATCATTCTGGACCAACATCTGTATAAATATTGTCAAAACTATAGAGATATAGGACTGAAACATGGCAGTATGCTTGAATGTTAGGTATACAGTACATATAATAAAAATTGTTAATGGAAGATTGATGGGTGCTTGACCCAGGAAATCTTTTTTGTACGAGAAAAGCATGGTAGTCTAGAATCTGGTAGTAATTACTAAATTCTGTTTATGAACTTGAAATCCATTAAGACTAATAAAAAAAAACAATGAATTCCTTAATGTTTGCCACATGCCAAATAAGTGCTTAATAACCATTACATTAAAATTGCTGTGTGTCTTTGGTAGTTTGCCAAGCTTATATTGGACATTATATTTTAATTATCAGAAGAGAAGAAAGGGAACAAGCATGTATTAGGCACCTACTATATGCCAGGCATTATGCCAGGCACTTTCTTTTCTTCTTTTGGGGGGGCACCTAGGCAGTGGGGTTAAGTGACTTGCCCAAGGTCACATAGCTAGTAATTGTTAAGTGTCTGAGGTTAGATTTGAACTCAGATCCTCCTGACTCCATGGCTGGTGCTCTATCCACTGTGCCACCTAGCTGCTCCACCAAGCACTTTAAAGATATCACATTTGATCCTCACAACAACCCTAGAAGGTAGGTGATATTGTTCTCTCCATTTTACAGATAAAGAAACTGAGGTAGACAGAAGTTAAGTGACTCGCCCAGGGTCACACAGCTAGTGTCTAGCTTTGAACTTAGATTTGAACAGATTTGAACTCAGATCTTTCTGACTCCAGATCCAGCTTCTGTACACTGTACGCCTATCAGGTTCTCTTATAATGACCTAGGGGCTCGATTATAGGAAGGCTATTTTTGTTTATCTTTTTTAAGAAATCTACAGTACAACTAATTCTGTTAAACTTGTGAAGTTTTGAGAGGTATGTTGCCTTAGCATTTGATGTCATTGCATATTGAGATATAGTTTTATTTTTTTCCTTTTCTTTTTTTTCCTTTTTAAGGCAGTTAAGTGACTTGCCCAGGGTCACACAGATAGCAGGTTTCTGAGGTCGAATTTGAACTCAGGTCCTCCTGACTGCAGGGCCAGTACTCTATCCACTGCACCACGTACCTGCCCCAAGACAGAGTTTCAAATGTAAGGGAAACAGTCACTGTTCACACTGAATTTTGGTAGGTGTAGTAAGTGCCACCATTCCTGGCACTGGGAATGTTTTGTTAATTCATTGAATGAAAAAATTCTCCTCCTTTCCCCTTTCATCCATTACCAAATTCTACTATTGTTTTGCCACTAAATTGTACTTTTGTTGCCATTAAAAGAAGCTCTGTTTTTAGTTACTTGTAGAAGGAGACTCTTTATATGTGTTCTTAATATAGTAAGGAGTAAAAGAAGTTCCTTTTTCTGTTTCAGTATTTAGGCCAATTAACATCAGTCCCAGGATACCTGAATCCCTCCAGTCGGACTGAAATTCTGCATTTCATAGATAATGCAAAGGTGAGTACATCTTACTATAATCTTAAAGCCTATATTATAGTCCTTTGATTCTCCCCACACAAGGAAGATAGATAACCTAATTTAGAATCATTGAGAATAAACCATCATTAATTGCTAAAATGTAGACTTTGATAAGAAGGGGTTTTAAAAGATTTAGGCATATTTTCCATAATGGATGTACTAGTTAACTGTGGTCAAGTTGAAGATATGCGATGATGCCAAAGGTCATCATAGTTGTCACCAAATAGAACAGCCCTCCAAGATCTGAATAAACTCTTTCTCATTCTTTTTTTTTAATTGATGTACTGTACTGCCTCTTCCTTCCCACCTTAGGCAGAAGAGGACTTGGGGTGAGAATAGTCCTTTGATGGCCATTGGCCACAATAGGAATGGTTATAATTTAGCTTATTTCATCTTAGAGCAGAAGCTCAAAGTGTATATAGCTAGTGACTTATGCCTAATCTAACTAGGTCCTTTTCCTTATGGGGATTTTAGGCTTAAAGAAATGGGTTGGCCACATGCAACATTGTAGGTGTTCCCCATTTCCCCTCCCCCTATATAATGCATTGGGAAGAAATCCTCAGTAGTTTTTATGTCATCATCATTATATGTTATATTATATGTTATATCTGATGTGCACCTAAGGGAAAAAAAACCCACATACACTAGAACTTACATACACAGATGAATTTTATGCTTCAAAATATCCACTTTGGGAGGCTGATTACTTATTGCTCTCAGTGCTAGTTTAGTAAGCACACAAGAAAATTAGTTTCTTTTCTTTGTGGTCATATAATGATTTGACAGTTCAACCATTCTAGTATCTGCCATATGTGGGGCACTGTGCTAGGAACTGATGATACAAAGATAGATACATTGCAAGGCCTGTTATCAAAGGCCTCAATCTAATGGAGGGAATCTCACTCACATACACACACACACACACACACACACACACACACACATATATGTATGTATGTATAAACTATTATAAAGAATAGACTGTTATAAGTTCAAGGGAGAGATCCAGGGAAAAGGCCACAAGAAATTTGAGAACAATAACTATCTATCCCTGTTTTCCTCTTATTCATTAGACTTGGTCCCAAATTACTTGTCTATTTAAAAAAATCAAATCTGCCTTTAATGGATGATATTCCATCCATTAATATTATTAAAAGCAAATGGCCACAGGCTCTCAAGATAATAAGTTCAAAAGGAAGAAGTGAAAAAAAGTTTTTTGACAAGGGGCACTATTGTTAGATTTAAGGCATTTTTTCCCTTGGGGGAATACTTTGAAAAGAATGCAACTCATTTGGATGTAGAATTCTCATATGCTTGTTTAAAAAGATCAAGTTACATGAATGTATAGTGTCACCTCTTACATATAGAGTTCTTCTTCAGAGAAAAGGTTCAGACTTTTTGGCCTATACCCAAGGCAGAAGAACCTCCATTTTCTGATGGCCCATGGTTTTCTTTCAGAGGGCTCATCAGCTCCCTGGGCACTTGACCCAGGAACACGATGCTGTGATCAGTCTCTCTGCCTACAACATAAAGCTGGTGTGGAGAGATGGAGAAGACATCATACTCAGGGTTCCCATCCATGACATTGCAGCAGTTTCCTACATCCGGGATGATTCATCGCACCTAGTGGTGCTGAAAACAGGTACTTTCAGAACCAGGTTTAAATGGTGATCCTTGAGCACAAGCCTTCTGTTTCATCCACTGTTCTTTATTCTCTCAAATGCATATGAAACCTTAACACATGTTAAAACTGTATTGACAGCTTTCTTGGCATTATTTTGAAGGTTTGTTAGAACTGTGAAATCTTAGACTGCTACCAAGATAGGAACCTTATTAGTCTATACTGGGACACTGACTAATCTTATCCTGTCCTAACAGCATAGTTAACTTAAGCACTGCATTTCAGCTGTCTGCCTTCTGCAGACCCCAGCCACTGTTTTGAATACAATTGGAATTAAAGATGAAAGAAACCTTATTAAATAACACTTAATCAAGGTTAATGTGATACTTTGCTCATCCAGAGTTCTCAATTTATGTTGCTGGAAGTAACTAGACCCTGCTTCTGGACCAGTTAACTCCTTTTAGGCTAAGATTGACCCTGAAGCCTATTTCCTTCCAAAGGGTTATTATCAGAGTGGCTTTAGACCAGTCAATTCAAGCCTCTTAAGCCATAAGAGTGCCAGTGTGCACTGCAGAAGGAAGATTATCTTATAGGTTTAGGGTGACATATAGTTCTGTCCCTGAGTTATTTTCTTTAAAATTTGAGATTTACTATGCATTTGGGACACATGGGCTTTTGTTACAAGTCATCCCATGACATACGATTTGAGCTGTAAGGTCACTCACTGTCTTATATGGTCACAGGAGAATAATCTGGCCTGATGTATTGGTCTATCTATGGGTGAAGGTTATTGTGGTCTTAAACCATAAGGATAAAGTTGGGATGGTTTATGGAGTAAGGCACTAGAAATTTCAACCTTGTGATTTGGCCTTTCTGTTCTGTGCATCAAATGCACTTTTTGTTCTTAGCCTTTGTTTATCATATCTTCTGCAGTGGAGCATGGCCCACTTTCTCCTTCATTAACTTGCCCCAAAAGCTCCCTCCTCATTCTATCCTTTTCTGCAAGAATAGACCCCAGGGAATGCTTTTCATTTAACAGTGAGGGAATTTCTTTTATTCCATTTTATCATCCTCTCTCAATAGAGGCATTCCACATTTTTAAACCCTATATATTCTTGGAGACCACATCTTAAAACAAATTACCAAATTATGAAATCCTGGCCATACATGTTCAGTTATCAGTGGAAACTGCCTGAAGAATAAAGGTAGCAAAAAAAAAAGTGGAAGTGAGGTATAGGTCTTCATTAGACAATATCAGATGAACAAGAGACAATAAAAACAGAGGTTATGATCGGGTTTAAGCTCCTTCTCTAGTTTTGGTTAATGTACTAAACATGTACCTTATTATTATACTTTGTGATTATATGTATATGACAAAACACCACAATTGTTTGGCTCTGCCAAGGCTAGAGACTGTCTCCCTTGTAATAAGTTATTGATAGGAACACATTCTTGAATTCTCCAAAGACTATTTTATTAAGGCATGAGGATTTATGAGGCTAACAGAGCTACAACAGAATTTCTGCATTGCAAGCTGTAGAACCCGATCCATCAATCAACAAGACTATTAAATGCTAGCTATTTCTCTAGGTGCTATGAATACGTAGAACAGCCCCTGCCCTCCAAAGACTTGTCCCCTATCTAATGGGAGAGATAATGTGCATATATAGATATGTACAAAGCATATTCATGGTAACCTTTTGGAAGGTGAGACACAAGTCCTGGGAGGACCAGGAAAAATTTTATGTAGAAAGTGGCCCAGGAGCTGAGTCTTAAAAGAAACCAGGGCTCCTAAAAGGCAGTGAGGAGGAAGTGTATCCCAGGCGTGGAGGACACTGATTGCAAACGTAGTGACTAAAAGGGTAGCAGTAAACTCAGCCTCTCAGGAAGTTCTGGAGGGAGTAGGTATGGAGAAAAGTCATGAGTTCTGTTTTGAACTGTTTGAGATGATGAGAGGATATCCATTTCAGGGTGTCCAGTGGGTAGTTGACAATGTGGAACTGAAACTCGGCAGACTGAGGCTAGCTATCTCAATCTGGGAGTCCTGCTAGGGCTATAGACTAGACCTTGACTTAACTGGTGGGGAGTACTCTTGATTGAGGAAAGTTCCTCTTCCCAGTGCTGGTCTGCAACTTCTCTGTAACCTGTTGTCTTAGAGAGTTGCCAAGAGTATTGAGGGGAGGTTAAGTGACTTGCCCAAGGTCACACAGACAGCTTGTAGAAAGAGTAGAAGGTCCAGGACAGAGACAGATGATCCAGCAAAAGACTGAGAAAGAGTAGAATCTCAGAATTGGGAGAGGCCTCAGAGACCTTCTAGAGCAACCAGGATCTCTTCTAAAACATTCTACAAGGAATCATCCAATCTTTATTTGAAGTCTGTAATGGAAAAATGGCTATCTATTGATATAGCTCATTCCACTTTTGGATAACTTGGAAGTGTAGGGAAGGTTTTTTTTTTAACATCCATTTTAAATCTACCTTTAAAATGTTGATCCTTTGTTCTTAGTTGTGCCTCTGAGGCCAGGTATTGTAAGTCTAGTCCACGTTGCATATGATAGTCTTTCATATACTTAAAGCCAGCCATCATATCACCCCTTATTCTTTTTGTTTGTTTGTTTGTTTTGTTTTGGGGGGGTTTTTTTGGCTAGGCAGTGGGGTTAAGTGACTTGACCAGGGTCACATAGCTAGTTAGTGTTAAGTGGCTGAGGCCGGATTTGAACTCAGGTCCTCCTGACTCCAGGGCCAGTGCTCTATCCACTGTGCCACCTAGTTGCCCCATCAACCCTTATTCTTGTCCAGGCTACACATTCCCAGTTCCTTAAACCATTCCTCCTCACACGGCATGATCTTAAGACCCTTCACTGTCCAAATTTCTCTCATCTGGACACTCTCTTCCTCATCATCAGTGTCCTTCCTAAAAGGTGACACCCACAACTAAACACAGTACTCTAGATGTCATACAACCAGGGCTGCGCACAGTGTGACTGCCACTTCTCAAATCTGTGGCTCTTTTAATGTTGCCTAAGATTGCATTAGCTTTTTTTGGCTGCCATGTCACACTGTTGACTTTTATTGAATTTGCAGTCCACTAAAATCCTAAGATTCTTCTTCAGATGAACTATTATATACCCTCATTATACATGAGAAAAAAAAACTTTTTGAGCCCAGATGTAAATTTTATATTTATCCTTATTAAATTTCATCTCACTAGATTTGACCCAGTATTAAATCCTGTTGAGATACTTTTGCATCCTGACTTTGCCATCCAGTATGTGAACTGTCCCTCCCAGAATTGTTCTTTGTGAATATTTGATAAGCATGCCGTCTGTGCCCTTATTCAGGTGATGGATAAAAATGCTAAACAACACTGGGTCAAGCACAGATCCCTGGAGTACTTCTTCCAAATTGATATCAAATGATTAAAGACTGTTCTTTGAGTTCAGCCATTCTTTTTCTTGTTCAGTCGTTTTAGTTGCATCCGACTCTTCATGACCCCATTTGGGGTTTTCTTGGCAAAGATACTGGAGTGGTTTGCCATATCTGTCTCCAGCTCATTTTTACAGATGAAGAAACAAACAGAGTTAAGGGACTTGCCCATGGTCACACAGCTAGTAAATATCTCAGGCTGGATTTGAACTTGGGTCTTCCTGACTCCAGGCCTGGCACTCTATATACTTCACCACCTACCTTCCATTCAACCAGTTCCAAATCTACTTATTATACCTTTGTCTAGACCACACCTGTTCATCTTTTCCTCAGCATGTGAAACTTTGTCAAATTATTTACTGAAGTCTAAGTAAACTCTTTCTACAGCATTCCCCTAATCTTCCTAGTGGAGTAACTCTATCAAAAAGGAAATGAAGTTAGTCTTTCATGACCTGTCTTCGAGGAACCTTTTGCAAGCTAACTTTTTCTGATTCCCTCTTCTATTTCTAAATGTTCAATTGCCATCTCTTATTTTTCAGAATTTTCCAGGAATCTAAGTAAAGATATTGTTGTTTATTTTGCAGGCTCTCTTTCTTGAAAATTAAGAAAACGTTTGCCCTTCTCCAGTCCTGCAGTACCTCTCTCTGGGTTCTTTCAGAGGTCATTGACCCTGCCTGACTCTGAGTACCCTGGAGTGAAGTTTGTCTGGGCCTTTGCTGTGAAATCATCCGAGGTAGCTAGGTGCTCCCTTCCTTTCTCTTGATTTACCTTTAGGTGCAGATACCTTATTGACCCTTTATATTCTGTTCCTTTATAAAATAATACTTGGGTACTTTTGCCATTTAAAAAACTTTGTTATTACATGATTCATCCCAAGCATGGGACCAACTCCTTCCTTGAGTCTCTTCTTTTACCCGGTATGGGTCTTTTAAATCCTTTGTTTTGTTGTCCTTAGCATTTCTGGACAGCCTCAGTTCATGCTGAGCGTTAGCATTCCTCTCACAAATCTTACAGGATTGGGCCACAATTCTATGTGGATTCTCTACAACCTGGCCTTGCTTCCATCTTCTGTTTGTCTTTTTAACTGGTCTCTTTAGACTGCTCTTCCTTTTCTTCTTCATTTGGAATAATTCTTTTAGTGTCTTCAGAGTTTCATTTTCCAGAGCTTCCTATCTCTTCTGGGCTAACTTCCTTGTAGAATTTGAATCCATAGGACCTTACCTACCCATCTTCTGAATTCTTTGAAATTTCTTCTCCCAGCATCCAGGGTACCTTTTGTTTTGTAGTCAGACTTGTCCCCTGCTTTCTTTTCCTTCATTATCAGCCCTTCTGGGATGGAGAAAGAGCTAGCCTCCAAGGTTATCAATTTAGCACCAAGATCCTTCTTGTCAGTATGAATCAGATCCACAATAGCAATTCACTTTCCTTGCTGCTTCTACCTTTTGTTCCAGGTTGGCAACATAGAGGTTTGGGGTTTTGGGGTTGGTTTGTTTGTTTTTAAGGTGAGGGAATGACCCAGCTTTGTCTGTATCTAGGCGGCTTAGAACTTAGGAACCTTTGGTTCTGGCTAGTTTCATCCCTGCTTCTGCTGTTGGTTCTACCTGAGCTTCTAAGAATAATAAACTCTTTTCTGGTATCTAGTTCCTGCTCTTGGTTCAGGTTGACAGCATCATTGGTCTTGTTTCTGATAAAATGCAAGCTCCTCAAGGGCAAGGACTGTTTCATTTTTGCTTTTGTGTCTGTAGCATCTAGCATAGTTCCTTGTACAGAAGGTACATAATAAGTGATTGTTGAATTTAATTGAATTTCTCCCCTTTTTCCACGGATCATCAATAATGATAACTACTAATAATTATGTAATGGTACAAAGTTTGCAGTGCACTTTACAAACATCTCATTTGAGCCTCTCAAAAACCTCTGGAAAAAATGAGGTAGTTACTATTATTATCCCCATTTTATAGATGAGAAATCACTCCCCTTTTCAGGAAACTTCCCTGAATTTCCCACCGCCTACAAAATAAAATGCAAATTCTGTTGTCATATAAAGTCCTTCACAATTTAGCTCTATACCAAAGGTGTTAGACATGCAGCCTGCCTGTGCTTGTAGCCCAAACCAGATTAAAATGTAACTGAGTAATATTTAACAAAATAAATAAAAATACAGTAGAAGGTGGATTGTGTTAATATATCGTTTTCTAAGTCAGTTTGTAGCCCATGGGATCCTTATGTACAGTTGGTTCAGTGCTCCACCCCCACCCCATTTCTATTTGAGTTGGTCTTTTTCATCACAGCTCAAGGCTGTCCTTCAGGTGGATGACAAGTTATTCCTAATCACTGTATGCAACTTCATCTGGTTTTTTGTCCTTCTTAATACAACTTTTTTTAATACAGCCTCCATGACTGGAGTATTCTCTCTCCTCTCTTCTACCTCTTGGAGTTTCTAGCTCCCTTGAGAACTTAGCTTACCTCCTTCAAGAAGTGTTTATTGATTCTCTTTATTGTTAGTACTCTCCCATCTCCTTGTCTTTATTTTGTATATATCATGTACTCACTTTTTGTTCCATGAATATGTGGTATCTTCCCATTAGAATGTAAGCTCCTTGAAGGCAGGCAGATTTTGTATTGGCTTTGTAGTGAGTGATGTCAAGGCCTCAGAGCCTAGTTCTGGATATGAGTTCCAGCCTGCTCTTCTTTCTCAGGAATAGTGCTTATGTCTTTTTCCTCCCCCTTTTGGCTGCATTAATAATGGATTATTTGTGTGTCCTCAGCTCAGGACCCTGGAATCTCCCCCAGCCAGAGCCTGTGTGCAGAAGGCTCCAAAACCCTCACCTCGGGCTCCCTGTCTGAAAGCGGAGTGGTACCCGTTGAAGCATGCTGCTTGGTCATCCTGGCTACAGAGAACAAAGTAAGATAGGAGGGAGCTAGAAGCTCACTTGGTCTCTTTCCCCTTTGGCATGGACAGCTCATCATTAGAAAAGTCTATCACAGCTCAATAGGATAGTGTCAACATGGTACCATGTTTAGTTTTCCAGTTCTCCGGGTACTTTACTGTACTTTTTATTCCTCTCTCAGACCAGTGCCATTTGTATGACCATCTGATCACATCACACATTCACTTCAGGCTGTAGTTTTTGATTACTTCATTAAAAGGGATGAATATATAAAATAATGACTTGTCTTGGGAGAAGGAGCTTTATTTAGGAAGGTATGCATTTAGACAGTGACTTTCCTGGCAGGCTGTGGGATAAGGGAGATGCCATATCATTAATTTTTCTGAAAACCTAAATCCATTTTGTCCCCTTGTGAGTTTAATGCATTCTCCCATTTTTTCTTGTTTTTATTTTCTTAATCCTCTTTCCCTTCTCTTCCCCATGGTGTAGTAGGAAAAGGCTGGAAATCTAGAAATCTGAATTCTGATCCCTACACCTAGCTGACCATAAGCAAGTCACTAAACCACTCTATTTTTCCATTTCCATATCCATAAAAGAGTGGGAGAGGATGAGGAAGAGGTGGGAAGAGGGAGAAGGAGAATGACTACCCTCTGTCTCTGAAACTGGGCTGTTGCAAAGAACAAATGAGAGAATATTAAGGTGCTTTGCAAATGTCAAAATTACTACATCAATAAGGTGGTGATGTGATGCATAGTTGACCATTAGGGTTGCTGTTTTGAGGAGAGGATAGTTCTTAACCAAACCAACCCCTTACGTTAAGCTTCATGACTTGGGGGTATGCAGGGGGAAATTCAGCCTCAATTTTAAGTCTAAGATGAAGTGTGACTGGCTCCTACTCTCAATGGCCCCTGCTGGTAGCCAAAGCCTGAATAATTTAACAGAGCATCTAAAAGCTAGGGTGGGCTGCAGAACCTATGGCCTTCCAGGTGCTTGGGTACAGCCTTTTGACTGAGTCCAAGTTTTACAGAATCCTTTTCATTAAGGGGATTTGTTCTGTGAAGTTTGTATTCAGTCAAAGGGCTGCACCAGAGGACCTAGAGGGCCACATGTGGCCTTGAGATTGCAGGTTCCACACCCCTAAGCTAGGGTTTTTAATGAAGAATAAAATCAAATTAGTGCGTATTTATTAACAAGTCCTGGGCACTGTGGAAAATACAAAGAAGTATAAAGCATGATCCTAAGCCTAACGGAGTTAGCAATCTAGCAGAGTCAATAAAAATGTGAATTCACATACAAATGTGAAGAGTATGAAATGGCGATAAAAGATTCGAACAGTTTAAGATGCTAGTAGATGAGCTGTCACAAAACATTAATCAGAGAATTATTGTATAGACAGTAATCGATGTGAACATAGACCCCACTTTAGGAAGGCTTCATCCAGGAGGTAACTGGAGCTGCACCATAGTTGTGGGCAAGATGTGAAGAAGAGGGAGGGCATCCGGGGACTCATGAACAAAAAGTGTGAAGGTAAGAAAAGTAAGGTGTGTTCAGAGGACAGTAGGTATAACAGTTTGGCTGGAACAGAGAGATGGTACTGGAAAGGTGTGTTAGGGCCAGACTAGAGAAGGCTTTGATTGTCAGACCTGAAGGCATGTGGGAAGAAGCCCTGGGGTTGTTGAGCAAGGCCTCGATAGAATCAAAATGGTGTTTGGATTAGTCCGGTATTTCATCCTGGAAGCAGAACAGATATCACCCCCCACATTGTCTGCATGTGGTATTGCCCATGTCCCACATAGAGGTCAGTTTGGGGAAGAAGCCAATTGAAGTAACTGTCTCTGCCCTGTTTCCAGGTGGCTGCAGAAGAACTCTGCTCTCTGCTCAGCCAAGTCTTCCAGATTGTTTACACAGAGTCCACCATAGACTTCTTGGATCGAGCAATATTTGATGGGGCCTCTACACCCACTCGCCAACTGTCCCTGCACAGCGGTAGGTAGCTGAATGAGGAGGAAAATCTGTGGGGGACTGAGAACTGCCCATTGGATTCTTTGCAGGCTGGGTGGGACCTTAAGGAGTTTTCATTGCGGCTGGGAGTTTACTGTTCTTAATGAGTCTTCCCTCTTCCCATTCAGACCCTCATAAAGAAGTCCCCGGTTTTAGCACTTAATTAGATTAACCCTCTATTATTGGTCTCTAGTTTGGGGAGTAGAAGACACTAGCAAAAGAGAAGCAGAACCATTTTATCAGCATTCTTAAGGGAACACTCTTAGCCTGTTGGGTTTCATCTGGCCAAGGCAGAATGAATGAATGAATGAATGAATGAATGAATGAATGAGTGATGAATGAATGAATGAATGAATGAATGAATGAATGAATGAATGAATGAATGAATAGCACTAATATGTGCTGGGCAGTGGAGATGCAGATACAAATGTTACACAGTTCTTCCTCTTGAACAGCTTACATTCTAATGGCAGGAAATAGTAAGAGTCTTACCTGGAGAGTCACAGGGTTTGTGAAGAAAGCCAGGAGGCAGTTGATTATCACCTCCATTCCAACAGTGGTAGTATTGTTTTGATTCTTGCTTCTAGAGGGTTGGGATGTAAAGTGAAGAAGATTTGCCTACCAGGAGCAAAAAGATTACAGAGTTGTCTGGACAGCCCTGCTCTCCTGTGTAGGAATGAGGGGGGTGGTGAGTGTGGGAGACTGGGACAGAAGTGGAGATAAAAGGGGAGATAGATATATATGCTTTGTAGGCTGGAAAATTACTAAGATGGCTTCATTCACCCCAGGAAAGGCATTCAGACCATAATAGCACGCTTTTACATAGTGCTTTAAAGTTTCCAAAGCACTTTACAATTATAATTTCATTTTATATTCACTGCAACCTGGGAAGTAGATAAGGGACTGAGAGGTGAGGGGCCCAGGAGCGCAGAGTTAGAAAGTATCTGAGGCTGGATTTGAGCTCAGGTCTTCCTGACTCCAGGCCTGGGGTCTGTCCACGATGGTGCCACCAGCTGTCATTGTTTTCCAGAATAGTTGGATAGTCATTTTTGCTAATTTGGTGAGACGTGAAACCTCAGAGTTGTTTTAATTTGCGTTTCCTTCTTATTAATGACTGGGGATATCTTTTCATATGGTCACAGGTGGCTTATAATTCTTCTTTTGAAAACTTCCATATCCTTTGATGACTTATGTACTGGGGAAATGACTCAAGTGATATTATTAAAATTTTGGACCAGGTGCAGTGCTTTCCCTTTGGGACAATCAGGATCTAAGGTTTTTCTAGAGTCAGGGAAAACTGAGTTCAAATCCTGCCTCAGACAGTTACTAGCTATATGTAACTGGACAAATCACTTAATCTCTTTCAGCCTCAGTTTCCTCAACTGGAAAAAAGGTGATAATAATAGCACGTGCCTCACTTTGCTGTTACTGAGAATCAAAGGTGATAACAAGCAAAGGGCTTTGCTAACCTTCAATTGCTCTATAAATCTTGGCTGTTTGTTTTTGTTTTTAAAACCAAATCCAGTTCACAGTAGCCCTCATGTCCAAGCACATGAGAATACAAACTCACATGCCTCTAGACACAGCCACTTCTTACAGGGCACTAAAAGACCAAGCCAGACATCAGAGAATCTCAGGTATGCTAATTTATCACCTACTTAAAGATTACCAGACATTACTAAAGTTGTTTAAAATCTATTATTTATTGTTTTTCTTTATTAAAGGAAAGGCTTAGAGATGGAAATAGCTAAGGGGAAATGTCCATGGTGTAAAAAACAAAAAGGCAACAATAAATCTTTGAAAAATCAATAAATAACAAACATTTTTAATTCAAAAGATAAGTGCCATGCACTGTGCTAGGAGCTGGGGATTTGTATTTGTATACAAAGAATGAGACAATCCCTACTCTTGCTTTCTAATGAGAAAACAAGTCATATGGATATAGATAGATATTTATATCTATATGATTTGTTTCCTCATTAGAGTATATTGGAAACTGAGAATTTTCCTATACACATACACACAAAATAAATACAAGATTGTTAGGGAGGGAAATAAATTTATTTATATGCCAAAAACATTTCAACTAAATTTTCTAAAAACATTATCTACTTACCCTCAGACCATTCTCCTCCTTTCTCAAGGTGTTCATTATCTGTCTCATAGTCTTAGCCTTGCCAGTAGATGTCTGTGTCAGGGGATTGGACAGGGTGATAAAAATGAAGTACAACTTCAGCTTGGTGGACATTCACTTTGTTTCCACTTTTTTGCTATCACAAAAAGTTCTAGGTGGCACAGTGGATAGAGCACCTGCCCTGGAGTCAGGAGGACCTGAGTTCAAATCCAGCTTCAGACACATAACACTTATTAGCTGTGTGACCCTGGGCAAGTCACTTAATCACACTGCCTAGCCAGGGGGGAAAAAAAGTTCTACGTGGAATATTTCATTATACATGAAATATTTCTATCCTTGAACTCACTGGGGATGCCACCAAGGAGGAAGATCACTGGGTCAAAAGATGTGAACAGTTTAGTGAGTTTTCCGGCATCATACTAAATTGTTTTCCAGAGTGCTTGGAGTGTCAACTCCATCAGGCATCATCTTTGCCAGCTTTTTAGGGGTGAAGTGAAATCTCAGTTGCTTTAATTTACATTTCTCTTATTATTAGTGATTTGGAACATTTTTTCATATCATGAATAGTTTCCAATTCTTCTTTTGAAAATTCCATATCTTTTGACAGCCAATCTATTGGGGAATGATTCAGTCTCATATTTATGTGAACTGCTTATGTAGCTTGAATATCAGACTTTTTTCCCAAGACCTTTAATGCAAAGATTTTTTTTCCCACTCAATTTTATCTTTTTACTCTGTGTATTCTGGTTGTATTGATTTTGTTTATACAAAGGATTTTTAAAAAATTCTACAGTAAAAGTTGGGTGTCTTGTTTTGTGTTCCCTGGTTTGGTTATCAAATCTCTAATTTGTTTCTTAGGATGTGATGTTTTATAGTCAGATCACTTAATCATTTAGAACTTGTTATGGCATATGGCATAAACCATGCCATTTTTCACATCAGTTCTTATTGAATAGTACCACAGTAGTTCATTTTCTTGGGTTTATTAAATACTGTGGTATTGGGGTCATTTGCTTCTGGATCTGTCTAGTCTATTGAATTAATTACTTACAGAACTCTCATCTAGAGGGGAAAATATAGAAGGAAGTGTAGTCACAAGACAGACATCCCCTATCTTTTGTTGACTTAGATAAAAACAAAGGGCTCTTTTGAAACTTGTTCTAAGAAGCCCAAGATTTCTGACCTATTTCCTTCTTCAAATGCCAGGACTCTATAAAAACTGGAATGTTGTTTTCATTTTACCTTTTCCCATAAAATGGTAATATCAAAAGGACTTAGTACTTGTAAATTCTAAATTGTGTTTGAGTTTTTGTTTGTTCTTTAAATACTGAAATTCCTAATAGGATATTTTTAGTGAGCTTCTTCCCTTTGTCCAAATTCTTGTATAACTGTATCCTAGCCTTTCCCTTCAAATCCACTCATGTTCTCACACATACATTGTTCATGCTGTTTCTCCTGCCCATACTGTACATCCCTTTACTGGACTTCTCTGACACTTTCTCAAAGGCTCCAATCAAGACATGGCTCCTCCTTGAATGTTCTTTTACTTCTCTGAATTTCTCTGACCAACACTTAGGGTTGATTGTGTTCAGTTTGGCACTAAACTGTATTCCCTTGTTGATGGATGTGAGTCCTATCTCAGTCATCACTAAGCATTTGTTAAGAGCCTTCTGTGTGCCCAGCATGGGACACTATGCTGAGGATACAAATACAAACGTGAAATAGCCCCTGCCCTCAAGCAGCTTGTATTTTGTCAGGTGGTACAACATGTTCACATAAAAATACATTTGAAATAGATGGAAGGTGATTTTGAAAGAGAGGACACTGGAAGCTGTGGGGGACTTAGTAAAGACTTTTTGTAGAAAGTGGCACTTCAGCGAAGTCTTAAGGGAAACTAGAGATTCTAAGAGGTAGAAGTAAAGAAGGAACACGTTCTAGGCGTGGAAGGTAGGAAATAAAGAGCCAGGTATGAAGAACGGTAAGAAGTATATGAAGAAGAGTGGTTTATAAGACTCGAAGTGTAGCTAATGCACTGTTGGTGGAGTTGTGAACTGGTCCAACCAATCTGGAGAATAATTTGAAACTACTCTCAAAGGGCTATAAAACTCTGTATACCCTTCAACCCAGCAATGCTGTTATTTCTTGGTCTGTATCTCAAAGAGATCAAAGGAAAAGGGAAAAGACCTATAAGTGCAAAAATATTTATAGCTGCTTCTTTTGTGGTGGCAAAGAATTGGAGATTGGTGCCCATTAATTGGAGAATGGCTAAATAAGTTGTGGTATATAATTGTGATGGAATACTGTTGTGCTATAAGAAATGGTGAGGGTAATGATTTCAGAAAAACCCGAGAAGACTTACTTGAATTGATGGAAAGTGAAGTGAGCAAAACCAGGAAAACATTGTACATAATAACAGCAGTATTATAACCATGATCAGCTGTGAAAGACTTAGCTACTCTAATCAATACAGTGATCCAAGACAATTCCAAAGGACCCATGATGAAAAATGCAGTCCATCTCAGGAGAGAGAACTGATTAACTCTTGAGTGCAGATTGAAACACGCTTTTTTCACTTTCTTTATTTTTCCTGCCCCCCACTTTTTTTCCCACCACATGGCTAATATGAAAATATGTTTTGCATGACTTCATGTGTAATTGATGTATTGCTTGCCTTATCAGTGAGTGGGGGAGGGGCTGGAGGGAAGGTTTTTTGAAAAAACTGCTTAAAAATAAATAAATGATTGGAGCTGAAATTGTGGATTTGGGCCAGGTTGTGAAGTATCTTGAACTTTGAAAAAAAGGAGAATTATATTTGATCCTAGAGGCTATTGAGTAAGGCAGTGATGTGGTCGGACCTAGTCATCTCCCTATCTAGACGCCTTTGTGTCCTTCACAGAGCCTGGTAGAGTGTTTCATACATAATAGACATGCAATAAATATTTGTTGAAATCAGATCAGCAGAAGTTTGTTAGCTATGTGCAAGGCACTGTGCTAGACCCAGGAGCTACAAAGCCAAAAATCAAACAGCCCCTTCCATCAAGGAGCTTATTGCTTATAGTCTGTTGAGTGAGACAGACATACCATGAGTGCAGGTCAGTAAAGTCAAAGTAATGTGAGGAGGGAGAGTCAGGAGAGGCACCCCAAAGATGTGGCAGTGAAGTTTCCTTTATCTTTCCTGTTGTACCTCCTTAGCATAAGGCTAAGCACCCCAGCACTAATCTGGGACTTATTGACAACTTGAAAAATAGGTACTCACACCTATCTTTAAAAGTTTATCCCCACCTTCCTTGCAGATGACTCTTCAACGAAAGTGGACATGAAAGAAGCCTATGAAAGTGAAACAAGCCATTTGTGAGTAGATACTTTGCCCTGAATCCTATAGTAGATGTGGGTGAACTAGCTCTTTGAAGTGACAGGCCAAGGCCATCTCACAATGATGACCATCTCCCCATTTCCTTTCAGTTCAGGAAAACCTTCTTCCTTTTCCAAGCTTTCTCCTGATACATTGTTGGATGAATAAGTGTAGGGGAGAATTTAACTAACAGCCAATCTCATGTGCCATCTTTCATGTTCAAAGATGACATTGCTGATCTGGTGTCATTAGGATATATATTCTTAACTGTTTCCAAGAGCAAGATTACCTTCTCCCCAATCTGTCTCCACTCTTATGTTCAGACTCTTTTATCAGAGATACATAGAGAAATGCCATCCTGGATCAGCACTATGGGTTGTTCAGCTAAGAATGTTCCTAATTGAAGATAGCATAGTTGTCTTCCCTATTACCATTCTTAAAAGTTGAGCATATCACAAAGCCAAGTATGTCTCTGGTTCATAAATTTATTCAAACACTTTTCTGAATCCAAGGAAGCAATTTACGAGTAGCAGTTTTACCCTGAATGAGATACCCTATGGGTTGACACAAATAACCAATGTGCCATGGAATTAAGCAGACTGGTTTGTGGTATGACAGTCAGCCTCGTTCACTCCCTTGAGCTTCATGTTCACATTTCCACCTGCCTGCTGCACATATCTATTTAGATGCCCCACCAGCACCTCAGGCTCCATACATGCCCAAAACTGAGCTTGTTATCTTATGTTCAAAACCTGCCCCTGCTCCCAGCTTCCCTATGCATTTAATAACACCTTTCACCTAGTCACCCAGGTGCAAAATCTGTCATCTTTGACTCTTTCCTCTTGTTCCCCACATCCAGTCTGTTACCAAGACCCATTCATTTTATGTGCACAGAATCTCACATTCACCCCCACTTCTCCACTCACACTGCCACAACCCTGACTCAGGCCTTCAGTACCTCTCCTAACCGGTCGTATCTCCAGTCTTTCCCCATTCCAATCCATTCTTCAGTTTAATTCAGCAAACATTTATTGGCCACTCACTGTATGCAAGGCACTGGTGACAAAAAGAAAACAGGCCTTTCAGCTTCAGGAAGTTTGCAGACTGCTGGGGGAAGAAGGAGGGGGTGCAGTGCGTACAAAGATGATTATAATTCAAGGTAAATCGAGAAGACAGAGAACACTTAACAACTAGGACAGTAAAGGAAAGCTTCATGGAGGAGGTGATGCCTGAGCTTCCCCCTGAAAGAAGACAAGAATTCTGGGAGGCAGAGACAAGGAGGGGCTGTATTCCAGGTGTGGGGAATAGCTTAAGTAGAGAGGCAGAAGAGGGAGGGTAGAGTTGGGGAAATAGCTAATTGTCTGTTTTAATTGAAACACAAAGAGTTTATGAAAGATAGTAGGATGAAATAAATCTAGAAAGGTAAGTGGAGCCAGATTGTGGAGGGGCATCAAGTGCCAGGCAAAGGAGTTTGTATTTTGTCTCTTAGACAGTGGGGAGGTACTGGATGATTTTGAGCAAGGACTGGCATGGTCAGACCTGTCTTGGCTTTAGGAAGTTTGGGCAGCTGTTTGAAGGGTGAGTTAGAGGCAGGAGGCGCTGAGGACCTGAACGGGGTGGTTTGCTACAACCCTATGGAAGAAAGGAGGGCATGGGTGCCAAAATGTGAACATAGAGTGAAGAAGACTTGGCTTCCAAAATAGTCCTCTTAATACACAAGTATGGACATTCAGTGGTTCCACATTGCCTCCCAGATAAGAGACAGACTCTTTTCTTGTAGTTTAAACTGTCCCAGGACGACTCCCATCTTATTTTCACTCTACTCTCCTTCACACATCCTATGTTCCAACCTTACTGGATAGCCTGCTCTCTCTCAGCCTCACCTTTGCCCTCTTCGGCCTCATTGTATTCACATAGGCCATCCTCCCATGCTGGCAATGAACTCTTGCATCTCTGCCTGGTTGAGACCCATTCTTCCTTCAAGGTCCAAAGCGACTGCTTACTTCTTTGTGCATTCATACACAGGGATATACGTAGTTTATCTTTCCTTACCTAACTGTAAGCTCCTCCAGGGCATAAACTTTTCATGTTTCTGTCTGAAATACCTGGCACGGTATTTCAAAGGACCTTACAAAGAACCTTAATAAATGTTTGCTGAGTTTAATCAGCTCATTAAACACCAGAAATAAAGGAATATTTATATTCTTACTGTTTCAGCTTGTTGTTGCCGGATACAGGTGGCACCTCATCCTCTTCCTTCACACAACCGTCTCCTCACATCAAAACAGTCAGCGAGAGTGAGCTGAGCACCACAGCCTCCGAACTCCTGCAGGATTACATGATGACGGTGTGCCTGTCCTCCTTCTTTGTCACCCTGGGGTTCATGTAGAAGATGTAGTCAAAGTAAACATTGGGGGTGTTTAAAGGAAACTGAACCTGGCTCTCATCAGCCTTGTCTGCCAAGGTTTAGGGTGGAGGGTGCTCCAAGCTTGGATATTATTGGCCCAAGAACTATGGCTGGCCTCCTTCAGGAGGCAGAGCTTCCTGACGGAGGAATATTGTGGCTGATTGGCATTGCTGGGCAGCAGAACATTGCCTCCTGGAGGAGCAGACCATTCACAGCTGGGTTCAGGGAGTAGAAGATAGAAAAGAAGAGAGATAACTTGAAGTATAGGGAAACAGTTAATGAAAAATAGAATAAATTAGCTAGAAAGAACACTGCACAACCTGAAGTAGGGTCCTTGTCCCTGTTTGACGTAGGGGTAAAAATAATTACCGACTTAGAGCATATACCAAGTCATACCCCAAATTTCTCAGTTCATTCATTTTACTATTAGACTAATGAGAAATGGTATGTTATTGGGGCAGGGGGGACTGTTGGGACTGGTTGCATTTTGACATTTCGGTATTTGTAAGGCTGGTCTAGCAAATCATCAGTCTGTATTTGACCAGGGAAGTCTGAGGCCTTGTGGTAGATATTGAGTCTTATCTGGGGATTCAAAGAAGCTGGCCTCCAAGGGCTTGGTGGATGGCTTGTTGCACCCCCACTATTACTTTACTTCTCAGTTCTTTCAGCACTCTCTAAGAAAAGCTGACCTTGAAGGATTTCTTCTTTCAAAGACATGTAGTGCAGACATCGAAAGCAGGAGCTAAGGGTGTAAAATCATGTTTGTTTTGATTTAAGATTAAGGGGACACTGCAGTGAATAGAGAAACACTATGTTGGGAATTTAGTAATGATACCCAGCTTACCCATTAATTTTTCCTCCTTGTTCCCTGTGTGACTTTGGGCAGCATTCTCCCTGGATCTCAGCTTCCTCATCTGTAAAATGGAGAGCTTCCCCTCCTGATCTATATCTATGTTCCTATGATTCTGTGAACTAGGTTCTGTTAGCAGATACCCCAAACTCATTTCATCTGACCTGTGTGCTCTCACCATTTTTCTGATGAAATAACTGGTCATTCTCATTGTTCCTGAAAAAAGCTCCTAGTACCTCCTACAAAATGATTCACTCAAATGCGAAGCCAAGCCCCTGTTGTTCTCCTTCAGCTCCCCTGGGAAGCAAGCAAGATCCTCTTCTTAAGGGTCCTACTTGCTTAGCCAGGGAAGCTTTGAGGGGCTAGAGAGATTGGCACCATCCCCTGCCAGAAAAAGTAGAGATCCTTTAGGAACAGCATAGGTAATTAATGCTCAAGTTACATGAATGGATGGAAAAAGCATGTGTTTAACACTTGGGCCAAGTGCTAGCAGCAGAAGATTTTGCCTCCTTATCCCCATATTTTATCCTGCTCTGATAGTGACACAGATTTTCCTGTGGTCCCTTTTTGGGTGCAGTTTCCAAATAGTACAGTTATGAGGTGAGAAAAAAGGGACAGGGAAATTGGGGTCATTCCTGACAACATTCTGAGGCCCTGGACCACAGGCTCAGTACTTCCTCAGACATAAAAAGTAATTAGGGCCTGAATTATGTCAAATTTAAATGTGCCTTTTTTCTGCTACATGATCCTCCTTCCTTTCCAGACTTTCTGACTTAGCCCTAATTGTCAGGGTTGGCAAGGTGTTCCGGGGCATGTAATTGGGTGATCATGTGTGTGGGTGTAAGGGACTTGGTGCTTCTCTGTAGTAATGACTAATGGCACTGGTCTTTGGTTGGGCTCTCTTGGCAGCTGAGAACCAAGTTGTCGTCCCAGGAGATCCAGCAGTTTGCCATGCTGCTGCATGAGTACCGAAACGGCTCCTCCATTCATGAGTTTTGCATTAACCTGCGGCAACTTTATGGAGACAGCAGAAAGTTCCTATTGCTAGGTGAGCTGGAAAGGCTTTGCATATACATGTAGCAATAGTGGGGGGGGGGGTGTCCCGGGGGCGGGGGGGTCCCATGGGCCTGCCTAGCGCTTTTCAAAGAAGCAAGAAGTTTGGCCATTGAGTGATGAATTTTTTTAGCCTCAGCAATTCATGAAAGAGTCTTCAGAGGTTGGAAAGAAAAAGTTGTTCAAGGGGCAGGGAGATTGTGATCCTGATCCCATAGATGTCTTGCCAGCCAGTCTTGGCTGATGGGGTCAAATCACTCCTACAGGACAAGGATCCCTGTAGGTAGGCCTGGGAAATGTTTCGAACCTCCTTTGTGGGGCAGTCAGTTCTCCAGGGATTTTCCAGTATATCCTCCTCCCAAACTTAGCTGCCCATTAAAAAAAAAAAGATGCTAACACTTTTAACTTTCCAAAGTTCTTTCACACATATTCTTTCATTCAGTCTGTAAACACTGCTAGGCGGGATTCAGGGCAAACATTTAATAATATAGATGAGGAAACTGAGGCTCAGAGAATGGGAGTGATTTGCCGAAGTTCACAGAGCTCATATTTTTCTGTGTCAGGTTTGGAATCTGCATCCTAGAATTCTGCCTGCTCTGTCTACTGATTTGGCTCAATTAATATTATCAAGAAATAGTGCTTGGCTTCAGATGTGATTGCCTCCCCAATAATACCATTATGGAATTAAGTAACAGTTAGATTGGTCCTGTTATTTGTTGATATTTTTCAGCATTAATGTGTTTCAGTGGGAATAAGAAGCATGGCTCCAGATGTGGAATCTTAGGCTTGAGTCCCAGGCCTACCACTTGCTCAGTAACCTTGTGCAAGTCACTTAATCTCTCAGTTTCTTAACCTGGGAAGTGAAGATAAGCTGGAACCTCTTTGCAGAGGAACCCAGTGGCTGACCGAGCATCTAGCCCCAAGAACCCAAGAATCTGCCTCGCTAAGCTAAGCAAGCTGTGCCACCGGAAGTTAGCCTCTGGTGATCATTGCATCTCACAAAACAGGCCACACACTCTTGGAGGGGCTGTTGTCTGCAGCAGTGTAAAGCACACACCACCACCACTCCCCTGGCTCTGTGGAGCGTGGGAGCATTACTGACACATCTGCCTGCATCCATGCAGAGACCTGCACCTCTGGGGTCCCAGAGTCTGCAGAGTGAGGCAGCAGCTAGTCATTAGGCTGAGGGCTATCAAACGAGGGGAAAGAAGCCTGGACACCAGGCCACATGAGTGGCCAGAAATCCTCAGGGCCAGGATACTCTAGCAGCCAACTGTAGACAAGCTTCAGGGATCTCCCCAAAACAGAGGGTGGCTCTAGTCAGCAAAGCAGTCCACATGAGTTCTCTTATGCTTTGTGCTTTCAATCAGTTTTCTGCCAGATGTCAGGGGGAGGGGGAAAGGAGATCTCTTCTTCCCTCACCCCTGGTCTCAGCAATGCCTGGTCCTACATTTTTATTGGTACCCAAAGCTACCCAGACCATATCCTGTCAGACATTTTCAATGATATGTACCAGTAGGGTTGGATCTCCATGCTTTAAGCCTTTTGCTTTTTATCAAGATCAAGTCACTACTCCTCCAGGAAGCCATCTCCAACTATTCTGGCCCATGTTAAGGACTTCTTTCCTGGAAATCTCATGGCATTTGTAATTTGTACCATCAAGATTATGCGTTTTGTATTGTTCTCTATTTCAGGTATTCTGTTTCCTCTTATGAGTCACTAAGATTCTGAGCTTCTTGAGGTCACCTCCCTTCTCCCCAAATACTTAACACTTGGCTGAACACATAGTAGGCATAATAAATAGCTCTTGAATTAAATTCGAAGGAGTGTCCAGGAAGGCCAAAGAGATACACCTAAACTAATTTCTATGGAAAGGGAAAAATAGACCCTACCAGGGAAGTCAGCCTTCAGAAGTGAGTTGGTAATGAAAAAGGTCTCATAGGAACAGACCTTGGCTAATAAATCTGAGCCACCTGGATAAGGTTAGGAGGCACTTTGACCTAACACATAAGTGGTTTAAAATAGGCTTTGCTAGTCTTTTCAAATGTTAAATGACCCATTTATGAAGTATTCGTACTTAATTCAGTCTTCCCTGGTACGTTTCAATTTTATTCACTTTTCAAATTTTGATTTTTACTCAACTGCTTGGGAACTATCTGCTGTTTAAGTTAAGTTATACCTGTAATCATTTCAGTGGTATCCCTAATTGATTAGATTCTGCTTAGCTTAGTAAATGTACTATTTTAACCATCAGAGGGAGCTCTTGTTCCTTTAATGCAATAGAAACACTGTAGAAATGCAACTTGAGCCCTAAAAGTAAAGTAATCAGGCCAGAACTTCACCTTTGCAGATTTCATGCCATCTTGCAAATTGATAGAACACTTCACCAGTGTTAATACATGGTAGCAGAGCGCTGTGGAAAAGGGGTGATTGTCTCTGAGAATCTGTCTGTGTCCTTGCGCAATGAATTGTGGAATAGAGGAGGCCCACAAGTCTTGCAGCCGTGGGCGTATGTAGTTCACTCCCTGCCTTATTTCTGAGCAGCACAGCACAAACCCCACATCAAGGCTGGGGCTGTGGGGCAGTGACAGGGCTAGGGTGTTTTACCAGGATGTTGCTATGAAGCTACTACTAGTTTTGTATAAACTTAACTTCTTCCTGGATGTTACCTCAGCAGATGGGGATTGGTAGAATGTGGTAGGAGACTCTTTGTCCACCAAAGCAGCCGGCTCCCTTCCTCACCGCCTTCTCCCCCTGCCCCCCCGGTTTGGTATCTTTGATAGAGACCACCACAACCTAGGCTAGTCTGGGAGAGGGCGTAGTGGAGGGAATACAGAGCAGTCCCAGGGAGGTGGAAGGACTCAGAGTGACTGACTAAGTCGCTAAGGCTAAGCACAGGCCAGAGTGATCCCTTCTCTGGGCCTTTATTTCCTAGTTCATAGAATGAGGATCAACTTTATCAAGATGCTGGGAATTATTAGTAATATATTGCCCAGAAACCCAAAGTAAAAGAGCCCATCTTCAATAGCCAGGTTTGAGTTTTGGGTTCATTTTTTTTTTTGTTTTGGGTTTTTTGGGTTTTTTTGGGTTTTTTTGGCTGTAATGGAAGGGTTTGCACTACAAACCCAGATCCTCTACCCAACGGTCCCTGCCTCCATAGGCAAGTACGCTAATCTGGACAAAGCATGGTGTACTGGAAAGTACTGGGCTGAGTCAAGAGACCTGGGTTACATGCCAGCTCCAGTACCTACGAGCTGTGTGACTGGGCAAGGCACTGCCTTTGTCTGAGCCTCAGTTGCCTTGTCTATAAAATGAGGATAGTAACCCTTGGACCACCTACCTCACTGGACTATTATAAGGAAAACTTTTTGTAAATCATGAAGGGTTACATAGAAGTAGCAGTTATTGAGATCTTTGGAGGGAAAGCTGTTTGTGACTGCACAAATACCCTTAGATGTTGCTAAATTAAAAGAGACTGGCCTCTGCCTTGGGCCTTTGTGGCCTGACTTTCCTCTCTCTGGGCCTTAGTTTCATCATCTATAAAATGAGTTTGTAGGACTTCCAACTCTAAATCCTATAAAATCTGCATTCCTGCAGAAGCCCTGATATCTCATCTCTGTTCCTTTTCTCCCCCTAAGCCGCAAGCCCTCAGTAATAGAGTTCTGTTTATTTTCCATTCCTATTCTAATGCCTGCATTCCTGTCCCAGCATTTATCCCTCCCTGAGTGCATCTTTCTCTTACAGTGCAAGATATGGAATGGTTGCTCCGGGGTAGAAGTTCTGTAGTACCAGTGATTGTGGTCCTTCCTTTCCATCTCCCCCCACTTCATTCTGTTCGTTTTTTGCCAGGTCTGAGGCCTTTCATCCCAGAAAAAGACAACCAACATTTTGAGAACTTTCTGGAGACAATTGGAGTAAAGGATGGCCGGGGCATCATCACTGACAGTTTTGGAAGGTACCGGCGGGCAATGAGCACCACGTCCAACTCGACCACCAATGGGAATGGGGCCGCAGGCAGCTCAGATGACCAGTCTGCACCGTCAGAAGGGGATGAATGGGACCGCATGATCTCTGATATCAGCAATGACATTGAGGCGCTTGGCTGCAGCATGGACCAGGACTCTTCATGAGGAAAAAGCTTGGAGGAGGGGAGGAAACAGCTCTCAGGCCTGAAAGGGGCCTTCCCCTCCTTCTGGCTCACTTTCTCCTGTAGCTGTCGTCCCAGTCCTTCCTCAGAAAAGGTTCTAGGGGACCAGCCTTCATGCTGAACCCCTTGTTTCCTTCCTTAGAGGTGGGAAGCAGGAGGTGTCATTAGATAGCATGGGACCCTTCTACTGTGAAGAAATGAATGTGTTGTAAGAGGAGGAGTGGTATAGGGTGCCAGGAATACAGGAGAGCCTTGCAGTCGTCCAGACTGTCCATGTTCGTTGCTCCTGGCCACTATCCAGAAGGTTCCTGGGTAGGAGCGTGTCCACTGAAGTGTGGCAGAAGGCTGGGGAAAGGAGCCAGCTTTGTGAAGGAATCTCGGCTCACTTATTCCCCTGGACAGTTTACAGTTTTGCACATGATGTTCCTGTTGTAACTCTCAGAGACCTTTTTTGAAAAATGAAGTTTATCACAATGTGAATAATTTAAATCTCTTTGTTGTCAGACACATTTCTAGTCTAAATGGGGAGGTTGTGTGTGCCAAGAAAAGTACATTTTAGGTGGTAGGCATTTCCCATTTTAAATGGTTGCCCAGGGATGCTGGAGAAGTCAACTGAGCTGTCTGGAGTATGGCACTGGGGAGTTTTCACTGACTTCTGCCCCCATCAGTCCACAGCCCTAATAAGATCTTATGGGCCAAAAAGGGGAGAGTGCTGTTACCTCTGTTCACTGAGACTGGCCTGACCCCATTTATGTATGCCTAGGAGAAACCTGTTCCTGGAGAATAGGGCCTTGGTCGGGTATGACAGGCCAGAGTGGGGCCAGGAGTGGGCTAATTTGGCTTTGTTGGGTAGTCTCCATCGCCTTCTCTAGCATAGCAGTTCCCTGGACACCCTGCTGCTTCCTGAAGTGGGTTGGGGGGGAGGGGCTCTCCTCTAAAGGAAGTTATGCATTTCAGTGCAAGGAGCTCCTCATGTCTGGCTTGTTGGTTTTTCCTTCTTAGAACTGAGGGTGAGACAGCTGCAGTCCCATAGGATCAGGTGGTCAGAATCATCGGAGGGACAAGAGATAGTAATAAGTGGAAGACCAACTCATGTTCAGTTAGCTGGGAGGCTTTACCTTTGCATGAGGTATATAACGTAATGTACATGTAGTGTAAATACGCTCTTCTAAATACACTTATTTTTTTAATCCATATGCCATACTGATACTGGCTTGGGAAGCCAGCCTTCCCAGGGTGGTAGGACTTGCTGTCCTGTTGGTGTAATAGCCTATTCCTTAATTTATACTAGGGTTATATTTTTGACTCCTTTTTAGATCAAGCTCCCCGAGACTTTGCTAAGGGACAGTCACAACTCTCTTTTCATTCTGGGGTAAAACTGTTAGTGTGTAGCAATCCTCTCTGATGCTTTCCCACAAAGGTTCAATCTAGAGTCTCATTCTCAGTCTCTCTTGCTTTCTTCCATGTTTCCTCGATATAACCTCACCACATTCCTTCATCTGTCTCATTCTGCTTTTGTTTTCATCTGTGCTTGCTCTTGCCCTGGCCTTTTCCTATCTCTACCTCCCCTCCCCCCTCTTTCACATATGCAAATGTTCCCGTGTGTTATTGAGCACCAGAGAGGGGGGTCACATTACACTGACTTGGCCAGCCATCTGTGTGACCTTTGTGTGTGTAAGTTAGCTATGAAAGAGGGTCACAGTTTCTACCACTGTGCCTCACTGCTATCTCTGCCTAGATGGGAAATTTCTTTGTCCTCCTGAACTTAGCAAAGGCTAACCCCCAAACCCTAGCCCAACCTTTACCTTTTGAATTAGCATTCTTGGACATAGGATCATAGATTTAAAGGTCACCTAATCCAGTCTTCTCATTTGTAAAATGAGGTACTTGAGGACCAGAGAAGTGAAATGACTTGTCCAAAGTTACCTTGTCAGTAAGTAGCTAGAGACTGAGTTCAAGCTCAGGACTGCAGGCTCTAGATCCAGCATGATTTCTACTTTATCACACCACTTCCCTGCATGTACTTCAGTGGTTCCTGGGTTCTCAGATAAACCAAAGGAAAACTGGTCCGAGACGAAGTTCATTCTTGGAGGGCATCATGCCAGGGACTGAGTCTCAAAAGCTCAGCTAAGGTAGGGCTGTAGGCGAGGTGGTTGTATTTTATTTCTACTCCTTCCTCTTCCTTTGGTTTGGAAGTCAGGGAGGACTAATGAGAACTCTCTATCATGGATATGTGCTGTAACTCAGTCTCCCTATTGTGTACCTCCTCTCATAGACCTTCCTTCCTTCCCAACTTGATTTTTCTGGGCCCTCTCAATGGTAGCAGCAGTCTCAACCACTTCCTGTTCAACCATGAGCTTCAGCTTTCCTCAAGATGGAAAGCATCTCTGCCTAGCATCTCAGTCCCTGTGGTAGTTCTCAGGTAAATTTCACCTAGAAGGTAGATAAATATGAAATCTTAAATTTAAATTGAGACCTCTGCCTTGGTGTGGGCTGGACATTTCAACCCTGGTTCATCTATGCATCCCCAGTGACTTTCCATCTCTGGAGCTATGGCTGGCTAGTTATTAGGTCAGTGGTACCTGTGGCACTGACCCTGGAACTCCACCTCCACCAGGAAAGGTGGTAATGGTGCCCAGAGTTGAGGAGGGAGGTGTCAGGTCTGGAGGAGTGGGAGAAGTGAGAGGGAGGAGAGAGGAGGAAATCATGATCCATTGAACTCCTTAATCTTTCTGGAAATATCTTGGACTCAGCCCTCTCTAGGCCAGATAGGAACACCCTAACTTCACCCTTACTCAGGTTCATCCTTGCCCGAGCTACAGAGTTTTAAAATCCCAAAGCGCTTCCTCTGGTTGGGGAGGAAGAATACAGAGTAGCAACAAACACCCCAGAAAGCTCCCTCTAGACTTGTGCTCTTCAGAGATTCCAACGTGGCTGCCCTAGGGGTGCAATTGCATTGTGCTATCTGTCCCTTTCTGCATTACACACCTCCAGGCTTTGGGGGTGGGGGGCAGTGGCAAGTGTTCTTCACAGTGAATTGGGCATTTAATTCTGTTCTCTACAATTGCCAGCAAGAAGGCACCAGTGCCATGAGCTCCACCCTAGCTACTAGCTAAGATCCTCTAGCCAGACTAGAGCCCCTGGTTGACTGATAGGGATCAATTGTTTCTGTCATACAGAATAATGGGCAAGGAAACAGTCCCTTCCTTCTGCCCAGAACAACAAGGCTAACATCTCTTATGACCGAGGTGAGCTTAACTTTAATTGACCATGGATATGCAATGCCCTCCTAGGGCACTGAAATGCAAAGGGAATGGGGAGGGGGGTGGGAATGAAAGCAAGAAGAAAGGTGGGGACAGAGAATCAAGACCTTATGGAGATTCTGTTCCCCCTAAAGGCTTGAGGTAAAGCTGGACTAGTCTCTCCTGCTTTAAGCAAAATATGAAAAACCAGCTTGACATAATGAATAAGTTAGAGCGTGGCTGTTCACTTTAGAGAGGATTCCTCCACTAGCAAGCTTCCCTGGTGCATTTAAGACAGGATGTAATTCACAGAAATTGGATCAACACATGAAGTTTATAGCACCTAGCGTAGTGCTGGTCACATGGTAGATGCTGGATTTATACTTGTGGGTTAGTTGATTGCTTGGAGGGATCAACTCATTGATGGTGTAAATGAGGGCACCTGTATCCCTGGTGGGTCCTCACCAAAACCGCAGCTTGCTAGGGGCTTCCCCACAACTTTGGCCATTAGAATTGTTAGTGCCTTTGCTGTCACCGCACTGGAATTAGTGTACACTCAGCTGACAAAGCTCAGGCCATGACAGGTTGGGGATGATTTTCCAGAATCGACTTCAGGGACTTGCCTGTTAGACCTGTAGCAATTTTCCTATGTGCCGAGCGACGTGACTCAAGAAGAGCTGCAGGATTTTTGTATCAATGGCCACGGATTGTTGGGTCACCGAGAACAAAGTTCTCTGGGTACTGGGCTATTTGAGTAATTGTCTTCCTCTCTCCCCACCACCATGTCCTTCCCTGGCCCAGTCTTGTCTAGGACTTGGTCAGTTTTTGAAACTGAAATTTGTCCCCAGTGCTATGCCTGGGGAGTGAAGGGGGTGGGGGTGGGGGTGGGGAGGGATTGGATGGGAGAGATACCTTTATTTTTTATATGGCCTCTAGATTTATATACAAAGGTAATTTGCCCTATGGGCTTCCGGGGACAGGGACACATCAGGTCCCTAGAGTTTGAAAGCACTTCAGTTTCCCCAGGTGAGCTTCATGCTGGTGGGGCTGAGAGGACTCTGGCCCCTGACACAGTCACCTGAGCCATTCAAAATGTCCTCAAGCTTTTGTGTGGGGTTGTGGGAGGTGGGGGGCAGCTGTATGTATGACACGGCATTCCTCGCCTCATTGTACGCGGTTTTGTATGTATGCTTTCTGTATGGAGTATTTGTTACAGGTAAATATATTCCAGCACCCAACCTAGCCCTGCTTCTTTTCCTGAAGTCCTATACCGCCATTGTCTTCCAAGAAGCAGCCCCCGGGTCCTTGCACATAGGTCATCAGCCTGGCGCTGGAGTGGTCCTCAGGAGCCTTCCAGTCCAACCCCCTCATTTGTAAAGTGAGGCAACCTAGTGCCTAAGGGCACACCAGGAAGTAAGCCGAAGAGTCGGAATTGGGGCCCAGGTCATCTTGTCTCCAAAGCTGGCATTCTTTTTACTATACTGTACTTTCCCAACCTGTTGCTAAGAAGGAATTAAAAGAGGTAGCTGCTTTAGATACCTATGAAGAAGATCATGTTGGTAAAGCTCTTACCATAGTTCTGGCCCAGAAGGATCCTTGCATGGCTTATTGATACAGGCTAGCAACAGACAAGCCAAAATGCTCGCTTAGACTTGTGCTCTTCAGAGATGGCAACGTGGCCACGCTGGAAGTGCCTAATAAATGCTAGTTCCTTTCCCCTTTCCCCTGCCCTGTCCTGCCCTAGCCAGCTTCCAAGGCTTAGGTAGACCTCAAGTCCAGTAGGTCCAGTTAGGCTCCTGATCTGGACTTTGGTCAAAGGGAACTGAAAGGCTTAGCAGAGGCTAAGGGGCCAAGGGACCTTAAGTTAGTTCTCTGAGGGGACACCTGGGAAAACACTCTTGGTTTTGAAGAGAGGCCTCAGAAATCTTGTAGTCCAACCAATATATTAACATGAAAGAACCCCTTCTAGAACATGCCCCCAAAACATGTTTTCCAGCCTTTATTTCAAGACTTCCCATAATGGAAACCTGCCCTTTCCCAAGGCAGCCTATTCTCCTCTTGGATAGCTGTTAGGAAAGTTTTCCTTTCACCTAGTTTAAGCTTACCTCTTTTGCCATCCCACCCACGTCAAAGAGGGTCAAGAAGAACAGGACTAATTAGATGACAGACCTTCAGGTATTTGAACATAACTGCTGTGTCCTCGAATGACTCCTCCAAGGTAAACATCTCTAGTTCTTTCCACAGAAAATCACGCAGCAAGAAGCACAGGCTCCCCTCGACTCTCCTGGGTGCTCTCTATTTTATCACTCTTGCTTCTTAAAGCACAGCGCCTAAAACTGAACACTGCCCTCCTGATGTGGTCTGATCAGAGCAGGGTACAATGGCCCTTGTTAAGGCAGCCAGAAATAGCATTCACTGTCTTGGCTGCAACACCATGTTGCTGATTCTTGTGAAGTTTGCAGTCCACTCAGACTCCCAGGTCTTTTTCAGATGAACTATTATCTAGACACAACCTCCCTCATCTTGTACTTTTGAGGTTGACTTTCTTAGCTGAAGTGTTCACCTTTACATGTATTTTATCATATTTGATTCAGCTCGGAGTTCTAGCCTAGCAAGATCTTTTTGGACCCTGACTCTCATCCTATGAGTCAGCCAACCTTCCTAGCTCTGATTGGATAGGGATGCCATCTATGTCTTTAACCAAGACATTAGGAAATAAAATCGTTTAAAAGCACAGGGCCAACCACAAATTGTCTGGGGCACTCCCCTGGAAACCTCCTTCCAAACTGACATGCAGCCAGCCATTCAAATAGTTTCAAATAACACCATACATATGCTCACGTGGCCCACAATTTTTCTGTCTTTTCAACAGAAATAGCATGTGAGTCTGTCTCATTAATATCTAGGTAGATAATATCTAGAACACTCCCCTGGTCCATCAGCCTGATAACACTGTCAGAAAAAAGGAAATGACATTAGATAGACACATGTGGCATGTTCTTTTTAAAGAACTGATGTTTTTCTTTTGTATCACCTTCCTTTCTGAATTTGTTCTTCCACCCTCCCTTTCCAGTGAGCCATCCCTTTGTCATAAACAATTAAAATGAAAGGGGGATGGGGAGAGGTGATAAAGGCAACAGTATGGTAAACTAACCCTGTCAACCGAGTGTGACAATTTACACAGTGTTCCAAACCCATCCTCCCTCAAGCTCTTCAAAGAAGGGAAGGAGGTACGTTTCTCAACACTTCTTCAGGGCCAAGACTGAGAGTGGCTTGTTCTTGATGAAGCTATATACAGTTTTGTTTTGGTTATTTTGTGATCACAGCTTCTTTGCCTAGATGTTTGGAATACGTTCTAGAATTTTCCTAGCAATCAGTCACTAGGTTACTTATAGGTTGAAGGATCCTGTTTTTGAAAATCAGGAAAACATTTGCCCTTTTCCAGTCTAACCCTAACTCTCCTATTGTCTAAGATCTTTCAAAGTCACTGATTGTATCTTAGCAGTCACATCTTTCAGTACCCTAGATGTAGCTAGGTAGGGGATAGAGCTCTGGGCCTGTAGTCAGGCAGACCCCAATTCACATCTAGCCTCAGACACCTAGTGGCTGTGGGACCCAGATTTAACCTCTGTCTGCCTTTTTCCTCATCTATAAAATGGAGACAATAGTACTCATCTTCCAGGGTTGTGAGTATAAAAGTGATATTTGTAAAATACTTTGCAAACCTTAAAGTGCTATATAAATGCTAGCTGTGATTAATGTTATATAGTTCATCTGGGCCTGAAGAGCTTGTTAAAGACAGCTGCTATCTCCCTACTTAATCTTGGTTATTAACTTCCTGTTCACTGTTTGATCATTCTCTTTGGCATAGAAAACAGAAGTAAAGTAAGAGTTTGGTGTAGCTTCTGTGTTGTCTGCTATACCATCCACTCTGGGCAACAAGCTCATCTCTTCTTTGCTCCTCTTTTCCCCAGGATAGCTTTTTACCACCCCAACCCCCCCACACCTTGTAAATCATCTTTAGCATTCCATATCAGCCTCAGCCTATCCTGAGCTTTAGCACTCCTGATGGTGTGCTTCACAGGGCTGTGTCATAGTTTAGTATTCATTTTCCTTTATGTATTCTGGCTTCACTCTACCATACATGCCTTTGTGAACTCTCAGTTGAGTCCACTGTGCATCCACATCTCTGTAGATCCCCACATCACAATTGTTTCTCTGTGTCTTCACATTTTCATTCTTCAAAGCATCCTATTCTTTCTGGACTGACTTTCCCTATAGAATTTTAATCCATGAAGTCTTGCCTATCCTTTCTCTGCATCCTTTGAATCTGCTTACCCAAAAGCTGGGATGCATGTTAGGTTTTGCCCCACTTTCTTCTCCAGAATTCTAGAGTGTTGGTCAGATTTTTGCCCAGCATCTCCTCTATCAGAAATCCTAAGGGGGAGTAGTCAGTTGCCTATGAGGCTCCCAGGAACCAATTCCTCCTTGTTGACAAGGATCAGTTCCAGAATAGATTTTCTCTTGTTCAGTCCTCTACGCACTGATGGATTAAATTATCATAAATACAAGTCAAGAAATTATCGGTTGTTCTACTTTTTGGCAGAGAGAGCTCCAGCAGATGTCTAGATAATTGAAGTCCCTCATTACAATAGCAAGCCCCTGTGCCAGGCTTGTGGTCCTTTTCTAGAACTCATCTATTTCTTCTGACTCCAAATCAAGTGCTTTTTCCTCTCTTCCCAAAAAGTTTACCTGTCTCTGGAGTGAGCCAATAACATATTATTCCCAGATTTCTTGGGTGGAGAGAGGACAAACAGCTGACGGCCCTCAGACCTCACAACTTCCACTCCGTTTTCTTGCCTTCCCCCATCCCCTAAAAAGGGGAGAAAAAAATTCTTCCCTAGCTCTGAAGTTGATCTGTCATGATAGTCACCCCCCTCTGACTTGAAAGGGTCCCCACACCATGCACCTAAACTCTAGTGAGTAAACAGCTATCACCATGAGCTAAATGTCCCCTCTGGGGGGCCATCTGGTAGATTAGCCCTGCAGCTGCTGCCGGCCAGTTTAACTAGGCATGACTGGCCATGTTTTCAAGTTTTCCTGGGCCTTGGTTTCCTCCTCAGCAAGATAAGGGGGTTGAACTCTCTGTCTGCTGATCTTTTTGACTCTGCCTTCTGAACCAGGGATTGAACTAGGTTACAAGTTATAAAAACCTTCCCCATCAGTTTGTGGGAAGAAACAGAAACCCTGGGAGGGGAGGGGAGGGGAGGCAGCAGATAATTCCAGCCCTGCCTGGGTCCTGAGATCCAGGTTCCAGCAAGACTGCACTGCACCAGAACACACCTGCCTTCTCTCCCCACCCCAGCCTTTCAGAAGCCTCAATGCAGGCTGAACTTAAGGGCTAAAATATTACATTGACTGGAAATATAGGCTACATTTCCCCCTCCGCCCTCATCTAACTTTTATAAAACCTGACTGTAATTGGTGTTAATTTTCAGTATATAGATCAAGAGAAGGATTTTTTTCAAATGAGAATTTGAGTCGTGTAGTCTACCGTGGGTCAGTACAGTGAGCGCATAGCGTCTCTCCCTAGGCGGGCCCCTCCTTGTCCTATCCAGACGGAAGCTCTAGGATGCCCTCCCCACTTGGAAGTGAATCCACAAAGCCAGAAGGCTGTCTTCCTGCTCAGCACTAAAGGAAATGACCTTTGAGTCTGCATTAGCTGGAGAGCATTAGCAACTGCTGAGGCAGGGTGGGGCGGGGGAGGGGGAGATACCTCCTCCACCTCCTCTCTGCTGGAGCTCTCTTCTTAAAAGCCTGCTTCAGGAAGCTCAGTCCCAGGAGATTCCAGTTATTCCCATTACCAGCCCCACTCAGACCCAAGTCTCCTAGCCATGAAAAGCCTTTTTGCTCCTTGGCAGGGAAGATGTTGAGAAAGAGACATTTAAACTATTTCTGTGAAGCCAGACCAGAAGCCATTGCTAGCCTTGCCAGTGGGGAAACAGAACTAGATTCCCATTTCTGTTCTGAGGAGGGGGTCAAGGCATGGTGGGTGCTTCAAGAGGAGACTTAGGATGGAGGGGGAATAATTTGGGGCTAGTTGGGGATAGTTGCCTGGATAGCCTTGGGAGGAAATGAGTTTCTCCTAGGAACTGTCAGTTGTCCTGTGGGATTAGAGTTGGAGGGGACTTCGGATATTATCTACCCCAGCTCCCTCTTTTTACAGAGGAGGAAACAGCTAGGGCAAATTCAGGGAGGGAGATCTGAGGGGAAAGATCTCAGTCCTCAGGACACAAAACCCCCTAGTAGGACATGCCACAACAGTGTTCGCCCTCTGAGATAGGCATCTTCATCTTCCCAAAGAAGACCAGTCCCACATTCTCGTACCCCACTCCCACTAGTCACCTCTCCAGGGCTCAACTTCCCCCCACTTTCTTCAGTAAGTCCTCAGCGGGCACGGTCTCCAGTTCCTTCACCATCCTAAAGTCAGTGCAGAGGATGGTGACCAGAGTCAGAGGACCTGGGTTTGAATCTAAGCTTTGCTACTTACTAGGTCTCCTTGAGCAAGCCACAGCTTCTCAAGGACCCAGCTCCTCTTCTATAAAGTAAGGGGTGGGACTAGGTAGTCTCTAAGGTCCCTTCCCAGACTTAAATTCTCGGGGAGAGGCTGCTGGGGTGAAGGTCTAGTCTCTTCCTCCCTGTCTCCTCCATCTGGGAGTAGTGAAGTAAAAGGCATTCTACAGCAACGGGGAGTGAATACAGGTTTATTGAGCAGCATTAAGTTGAGGGATGCAGGGGCAAAGGGGAGTGGGGTGGAGCTGGCCGGGCAGGGCAGTGGCTACATGGTCAGCTCCTACAAGAAAGGGACAAAAAAGAGACATCAGGGCTGGGAGCTAGAAGGTTCATGAAGCAATGGTCCCTCCTTTCTCCCCCACCCCACCCCAGAACAACCCTAAAGGGGGAAGCAGCTGGCTCCTAGACAAGGTATTACTCGCTGTCTTCAGTTCTGCTGAGCAGGCAGGGGACCAAGGCGAAGGAGACAGCTGACTGGGGTTAAGTGAGCAAAAAATCCTCCAAAAGGACACACTAGGACCTTCAACTAAGGCCCTTGACATGCTGCCTCTGGAAATGACTTGGCAGGGGAGGAAGGAGGGGAACAGTGTGGTCTAATGAAAGGTGAGAGGCCTGGTATGAGGAAGAGAGAAAAGGAAGAAGAAAAGGGCAGAAGCTTTTGGTGCTACCCCATGGCATGAGCTCTGTACTCAGCCTCGCCTGGATCCATGCTCACCATAATGGCATTGACGATGTCATTATTGTTGTGTCTCAGAGCCCGGACAGCCTTCGCTCGAGACACATTGGCCTGAGCCATCACCAGCTCAATGTCACGTACCTCCAGGCCCGTCTCATCCACCTGGCAAGAAGCAGGAATCGGGAGATGGCACATGGCTAGGAGAGGCTGGGCCCCATGTCCAGTGGGGCTGCCTTGACCTGTTCAAAATCACCCCCGGGACCCCATGTGCCTCCCTCCCCCATGACTTTGGGAACAGAGAGACCCTATAAATGGCTCTGTGGAATTTTGAGCCCCGGGGCCCACCCAACCTCACCTCCTCATCTTCACTCTCCTCCTTGACACTGAGGCCTGGTGCTGTCTCTGTGATGATGGGTGAGGGTTCGGCCGGTACCTTAAACTTCTCTGCTGCTGCCTTGTGCACTTGCTGGGACAGGTCCTCAATCTACAGGGAATGATGGGGTGGAAGGTGTGCAAGGAAGAAGATGAGGCAGACAATCCCCGTTCTCCCTCAGGTAGAATATACTGCCTTTCTCAGCTCGGGGACCATGTTCCATGGCTCCCAAACTGACCCCCTTCCCCCAGTTCTGCATGAGGGTGATTCTCCACCCCATTCCTGCCAGTATGAGTGACCCAAGCAGACTGACCTTAGCTTCCCCAAAGACTATGTAGATGTCTGAAGCTGGACTTTTGAAGACATCAGGCTTGGAGATGACAAAGAGAATGTTCTTAGACTTCCGAATGGTGATTCGGGTGACCCCGTGGATCTGCCTCAGGCCCAGCTTTGACATGGCCTGTGAGGGGGAGGACAAGAAGGGCAAGTATATGACCTCAGACCCAGTCTGACAGCCTGTCCGTGTTTAGGGTGAATCAACCCCAACTTTCTCTGCCCCTGAGGGAGGGGAAGGAAATCACACTTTGTTGGGGCCAAGAAGAATGTGTGACTTGGTCATTAACCAGGAAAGAGAAGGAATTTTCATTCCACTTTGGGGTTCTAGTTTGATTTCTATGGAATATCAAGTAAATGTTGACTACTATCCATAAAGGAGACACCTGCTTGGACAAAAGCCCTAAGCCAGGAGGCAACTGAACTAGCTTGAGACTCTCCAGTTACCAATTTCCCCATTTGGCAGAAGAGGTTTCCATGTTCTGTGGTCCTAGGGTTTAAGGGAATGCCCAGCCTGGTGGGTGAAGCCAGCCCTCCCCAGGATGGCCTCCAGAGCCCACCCGTACCCTCTGTGCTTGGAGGCAACTCACCTTTCGGGCCTTCTTCTCGCTACGGCTCTGCTTGGCTTTATTGACGGTCTCTTCACCACTTCCCACGGAGTGGGCCAGCTGGGCCTGTGGATGGTACAGAGCCTGAACTGGACTGATCATGCCAGGCAAACACACTGCCTGTCTTCCTGAAATCTAGGCTTTCCAGAGAGCTAGACAAAATGTCAAGGAGTGGCTGGAGGCAGGGCCATTGGAGGGTCAAGGAGTCCAGAGGCCGATTCCTTGTCAAGTAAGGGAAGCCCCCAGGGAGTAAAATAAAAGAAACTTACCTGGATAGTGCCTGACTTTTACCAGACCTACTGCCTGAATTGCTTCAGGCCTCAGACAGAAGGGTCAAATTAAGTAATAATGTATTTTCTAGGCTGGTGGTTTTGTTCTTGTTTTTCTGTGGGGAGGTTAGAGGAGAGTCAGTCGCTGCCCAGAAGGAGCCTGTAGTCAGAGGCTGCAAAGAGTTCTTGACTTACAAGTCAGAAAGCCTGGGTGTGAAGCTTGCTTCTTCTGTTTACTAGCAAGATGCTCCAATCTATAGAGTACTGGACCGGGAGGCTAGAAGACCCGAGTTCAAATCCTGCCTTAGACACTAGCTGTGTGACTTTGGGCAACTCACTTGCCTTCTGTCTGCCTCAGTTTTCTCAACTGTAAAAAGGGAATCATGAAAGCACCTACCTCAAAGGGTTGTTGTGAGGATCCAATGAGATAATAATAACATATATTAAGCCTTTCTAAGCTGCAATTCATGACAATGACTTTAGGCAAATATCACAACCCCTCCAAACTGAAGTTTTCCTCTTCAGTAAAATGAGGCTGATGCCAGAATTATGTACTTTGTAAACTTTAAAAAGCAATAAAAAAAAGAATTTAAGTTGTTATAGTTGCTCTATCTACCTAAAAAGAGAAGTCTCAGAGGGACCACCCAGAGGAATGTTTCTCTAGGGTCTCACCCCAGCCCAAGTCATGGACAGAGAATGAGCCCATTCTCAAGGTTAGCAAACCCTTCTCCAGAGAGTGGTTAGGATGGAAGGGGGGAGGGGGTACCTGAGGTGGTGCAGTCTGTGGTTCAGTACTGTCTGGCTCCTCCAACTCGGGGAGAGACTCGCCATTACTCTCAGAATCATTGCGGGATGCTGCAGGTGGGGAAGGGTTCAGAAAGATTTTTTAAAAAATGAATCACTGCTTAGACCTAGTCTGGACAAGCCCCCCCACCCCTGCTCTGAGGAAGGAGGTCACCTCTTCAACCTCAATGTCCTCCTCCAACTTCAGTCCCCCAGACAGGCACTGGAAGTTCAGGCACAAACAGCAGGGAGACTGCCAGTGACCCTGGAGGCCCCCGCCCTCATAGCTGGTAGGAAGGGGGGGGGTCCCTCCTCAAGCCACAGAAAGAAACTAGGGCTCCTTTGGGGCAGGCTGAGGCTGGGTACAGGATCACAAGATAGCCAGAGAAAGCCCTGGTCAGCTGGGAGACCTGTGGCCTAGTGCTAGCCCTGCTCCTGACTCACTCAGGTAAGCTGCTTTACCGGCCTGTGCCTCAGTTTGCTCATTTGTTAAAGCATTAACCACCTCTTGCCCTTTTTACCTAACATAAAGAGTTGGGAGGCTCACAATGGATTTGAAAGCCCTTTGAAGAATGTGGTGAGGGGATAGTGATTGAAGCCCACCCTACCCCCTGCCCTGCGTGGGACTGTGGGGCACTTGAGGCTGCAGTCCAAAGGCCACTCACCCCTGTGATTGGGGAGAGCCCCAGGGGCCGGGCGCAGGGCCATGCTAGCTGCTTGACGTAGCTCTTCCAGTTCTGTACATCGTGAAAGGGGGTCTGCCTCGCTCGAGGAGCTTGACTGTGATTGCACCGAGCCCTGGAGAGGTGGTCGATCAGTACCTGGGAGGTTGGCAGTGATGGATGGAAAGGCAGGAGAGGGAATCTGGCATAAGCCTCTCTCTCCAGAAGACGGCCCAACCTCAGCCTCCCTTCCCCCTTCCACGTCTTCCATCCATACCATCCCCAGCACACCCCCGCCCCAGCCGCATTCCCATCACACCTGCCCCAGCACACCCCCAGCCCTATTACCTTCTCTGCTCAGCCGGGGTCCTGGTGGAGGGGTTACATCTCTGGGGCTGCACTCCTCTTGCCGAACAGCGGCAGGCCCCCCTCTAGAGTGAGTTAGGGTCCAGAGCCCTGGGCCAGGAGCAGGGCCTGGAGGCACTTGGCTGGGAATGGGGGGCTTGGGAACCGCCTGAGGTACAGACCCCCCCAGGGGAGCCTGCCCTGCCCAGAGTCCCCTGGAGCATGGGTTTGAGATCACCTCAGGAGACCCTGCTGGGGCCTGGTCTTTGGCATAGGGGACCGCTTTTGAGGTTGGTGTTCTAGGGGACACTAGGACTTGACCCCTTGGAGAACGGTGCCGGGGAGATCCTGCTTTCCGCGTTGCTACTGTTGTGCCCAGGTCTGATGGGCACAAGGCCGATGGGGGCATGTTCCCTGAGACAGCCCGGGCTGAGGAAGAGACTGCTCCCTCCACCCTACCCCCCTCTTGCTTCTGGGTCAAGGGAAGTGGGGGGCCCTTATTGCTTGAGGCCTCTGGGCTAGAAGAGGACTGGGGAGCCACTGTGCTGGGCATTGGGATTACAGGGGCAGAAGAGCTCTGGGCCTCCTTGAAGGTAGGCACAGGAGCGGCAGAATGGGGCTGTGATTTCCCTAACTTTGTGTGTGGGCCACCTGCTGGATTTGGTGGCTTCTCCCTGCCCAGGGAGCTCTGAGGCGAGGGCCTCTTCTCTTCAGATGGGCCTCTCAGTTCTTCAAGGGAACAGTCATTTGAGGACAAAACAGAGGAAGGAACTCTCTCCACCAAAAGTTTGGGGCCATCAGTGCCCACAAGGGGTATAGGAGCAACCACCAAAGTCTCTTGGTGCTTGAGCATGAAGGGGACGTCAGACAGCTCCTCTGGGGAGGAGGAACTAGGCACCTCTCCCTCTGGCCTGAGGAAGGATACCTGTTCAGTGTCCCACCTCAAGTCAGTCTTTAGCTGGGGGCCCTCAGATAACACTGGGGAACCTGGGGAACCTTCCCTTGAGGTACCATGGGACTCCTTTGCTCTAAGCACAGGCTCAAGGGCTTCACTGGGTTCTAGGATTTCACCACTGGGTAGAGACTTCTGAGATGGCTCCTCTGGGCAGTTTTCCTCCAGATTAAATTCGATCTCTCTCAGTAACTCCTTCCTCAGGACATCTGTTTCTTCCAGGCCAGGTCCAGAACTGGGCCCTGGAGCTCTGATCTCCTTAGAGGATTGGATAGCATCCAGTGACCCTGGCACAAGATCCATCTTTGTGGGAGACACTAAGTGCTGTTCTGAACTCTCATTCTCACCAACAGAGCCCTCATTTTCCAAATCTGATTCCTCTTCCAGATGGCGTGGAGGCCACTGAAGGGAACACTCCAGGGAGACAGGGGGACACCCTTCTCCACTGACATCCCTTGATGAGGCATCCTCAGAGCCTTTGGAAATGACTACATAACCTTGCTCAGCCAGAGGGTTCAAGCCTTCATCCTCACCAGCTAGCGCCTCCTGCCCCTCAACACCTTGGTCTTGGCCATCTGCCAGCTCCCAAGCCTCTGGCAGAGTTTCTCTCTGGGGGGACAATGGTTCAGCTTCCTCATCTATATTGAAACAGGCAACAAGGCCCTCCCTTGGCTCTTCTTCATCCTGGAGGCATTCTTGTTTCTCTCCCTCTCCCTCCTCCTGCCCCATGGCAGGGAGGGTCTCTGGTGTTACCTGCGTCCTGTCAGCCTGAAATATCTCCATAGCAATAGGCTCCAGGCCTAATGTGAAGCCCGTTTCTTCTTGCAGAGTCTGAGGGGTCACTGCTGCAGCAATTGGTTCTAGGCTTACTTCTTGTAATGGTTGAGATGTCACAGTACTGGGTTCTAGATCTTCTTGTAGGATCTGAGGGGTCACTGCCATAGCAATAGGGCCTAGGCCTACTGTTTCTTGTACTGTCTGAGATGTCAGGGCAATGGGTTCTAGGCCTACTGCTTCTTGTGTGGTCTGAGATGTCATCATGGCAATAGGTTCTAAGCCTCCCATTTCTTTTAGGGTGTGAGATGTGTCCATAGCAATGGGTTCCAGGTCTGTTGTTTCTTGTGGGGCCTGAGATGTCTTCATGGTAATGAGTTCTAGGTCTACTGTTTCTTGTAGGGTCTGGGATGTCATGATGGCAATGGGTTCTAGATCTGCTTCTCGTATGGTCTGGGATGTCATGATGGCAATGGGTTCTATCTCTGCTGCTTCTTGTATAGGCTGGGATGTCATGATGGCAGTGGGTTCTGGATCTGCTTCTTGTAGGGTCTGGGATATGATGGCAATGGGTTCTAGATCTGCTTCTTCTTGTATAGGCTGGGATGTCTTCGTGGCAACAGGTTCTAGATCTGCTTCTTTTATAGGCCTTGATGTCTTCATGGCAGTGGGTTCTATATCTGCTTCTTCTTGTATAGGCTGGGATATCATGATGGCAATGGGTTCTAGATCTGTTTCTTCTTGTATAGGCTGGGATGTCATCATGGCAGTGGGCTCTAGATCCACTTCTTCTTGTACAGGCTGGGATGTCTTCATGGCAATGGGTTCTAGGCCTACTGTTTCTTGTAGGGTCTGCGATGTCTTCATGGCAATGGGCTCTAGATCTGCTTCTTCTTGTACAGTCTGGGATGTCTTCGTGGCAATGGACTCTAGATCTGCTCCTTCTTGTATAGTCTGGGATGTCATCATGGCAATGGGCTCTAGATCTTCTTCTTGTATAGGCTGGGATGTCTTCATGGCAATGGGTTCTAGGCCTACTGTTTCTTGTAGGGTCTGTGATGTCTTCATGGCAATGGGCTCTAGATCTGCTTCCTCTTGTACAGTCTGGGATGTCTTCGTGGCAATGGACTCTAGATCTGCTCCTTCTTGTATAGTCTGGGATGTCATCATGGCAATGGGCTCTAGATCTTCTTCTTGTATAGGCTGGGATGTCTTCATGGCAATGGGTTCTAGGCCTACTGTTTCTTCTAGGGTCTGCAATGTTTTCATGGCAATGGACTCTAGATCTACTGCTTCTTGTATAGTCTGGGATGTCTTCATGGCAATGGGTTCTAGATCTTCTTCTCGTATGGTCTGGGATGTCTTCATGGCAATGGGTTCTAGATCTTCTTGTATAGGCTGGGATGTCTTCATGGTAATGGGTTCTAGGCCTGTTTCTTGTAGGGTCTGCGATGTCTTCATGGCAATGGGCTCTAGATCTGCTCCTTCTTGTATAGTCTGGGATGTCTTCATGGCAATGGGTTCTAGGCCTACTGTTTCTTGTAGGGTCTGCGATGTCTTCATGGCAATGGGCTCTAGATCTGCTTCTTCTTGTATAGTCTGGGATGCCTTCATGGCAATGGGTTCTAGGCCTGTTTCTTGTAGGGTCTGCGATGTTTTCATGGCAATGGACTCTAGAGCTGCTGCTTCTTGTAGGGTCTGCGATGTCTTCATGGCAATGGGCTCTAGATCTGCTCCTTCTTGTTAGTCTGGGATGTCTTCATGGCAATGGACTCTAGAGCTGCTGCTTCTTGTAGGGTCTGTGATGTCTTCATGGCAATGGGCTCTAGATCTGCTCCTTCTTGTATAGTCTGGGATGTCTTCATGGCAATGGGTTCTAGGCCTACTGTTTCTTGTAGGGTCTGTGATGTCTTCATGGCAATGGGCTCTAGATCTGCTTCTTCTTGTATAGTCTGGGATGTCTTCATGGCAATGGACTCTAGATCTGCTCCTTCTTGTATAGTCTGGGATGTCTTCATGGTAATTGGTTCTAGGCCTGTTTCTTGTAGGGTCTGCGATGTTTTCATGGCAATGGACTCTAGAGCTGCTGCTTCTTGTATAGTCTGGGATGTCTTCATGGCAATGGGTTCTAGGCCTGCTGTTTCTTGTAGGGTCAGCGATGTCTTCTTGGCAATGGGTTCTAGGCCTGCTGTTTCTTGTAGGGTCTGAGGAGCCACTGACATAGCAATGGGTTCCAGGTCTGCTACTTTTTGTATGGTCTGGGATGTTGTCACTGCGATGGGATCTAGACCCGTTTCTTGTAGGGACTGAAAGGTCGATGCCATGGCAGCAGACTCCACACCTAAGCCAAGCCCTGTGCACTGGGCTGGGAGCTGTGCAGCTACTACTTCCTCCTCCTTCTCAGCTAAGCTATCCCCAGACTCTGGGGAGCTAGGCCGGAGAGGGAGCGGAGGCTGGGCATGGGGCTCTTCACTATAGAGCCTCTCATCCTCCTCCCCAGCATAGGAAACCGAGTCAGAGTCTGAAGAGGCAGCTGAAGTGTCATCTCGGAAGGCAAAGGCCTCATCCACACCCTCATTGATGGACATCTCTGACAGGGACTGTAGGAAGGAGGCTGAAGTGCTGTCATCCTCACCTTCACTATCTCTGCTCGGAGTTTCCTCCTGGGGCAACAGCATGATCTCCACAGCATCGGCCTCAAAGATCAGACTGCCTCGGAAAGGTAGCAAGGTGGCCGGGATCATAGTATCACTGCCAGGAATGCTGATGTCCGGGAAGGAATCCCCTCTCCTTCCTGGGCTCCAGGAGGAGCCGCTGTCCCCAGAGAGGCTCGATTCTGAGGAGGGGAGGTCCCGAGGCCCTACAGGCAGGAGCTCCGTGTCATCCGAGTCAGAGGCCCCGCCAAGGGGACTCTCTTGGCCACCTTCCTCATTGGAGCAGAGGAGGGAGAAGTCCCCGTTCTCAGGAGAGTCCAGCCCCTCAGTCTCCATTAGCAGGTTGGGGGAACAGGACGGGGATGTGCTAAAGCTGCTAGAAGAGGCCCAGCTGCCCCCCTCTGCGGTGATGTAGGAGCCAGAGGGGGATGTGGGTGGTGAGCCGAGGATATCGACCTCAGTGTCACTGGGTTCCTCACTCAGGCAGAGAGAGTGGGTGAACAGATAGGAACAGGCCACCTTGGTGGGGGTGGAAGGAGCTGTGAAGTAAGGGTCTGGGTCCAGGCGGGGGGAAGGCACAGGGAGGTCACCCTGAGAGAGCAGCTCGGGGGGCGGGCTGGGGCCAGCCCGCCTACCCTCCAAGTCCCTGAGCTCTGAATCTGTCACTGTCAGGGGTTCAGCTGCCTGGGGCTCCTTGGGCAGCTCTGTGGTGGCCTGCTGGGACCCGCCACTGCTTGTCTCTTCACCCATCACAACCCGAGGCTCCAGACTCTCCAGGATGAGGGGTTCCTCAGGGAGTCCTTTTGGGGGTCCTACCACGGGGCTGCACTCTCCCAAGGCAGTTCGACCAGAACTGGTGCTGCCCACTCCAGCATCCGAGCTGGCCCCCTCTGGCTGCGGCCGGTCACCGTGCTTGGCGGGTAGGAAGGCTAAGGGGATAGAGGCTGGCCCTGGCGTCAGGTCCCCCTGCATGGACAAGTCCTCAGGCATGGGCAGGTCCCCACTGGGTGTAGAGGCAGCAGCATCATGGGGTTCAACTGTGGAAAAGAGAAAGAAGGCATGAAGGTCCTGGGGAAGGAAGAACAAGAAGAAGGCCTCACTTAGTGATTTCTCAGAAAGTGGAGACCAGGCCCAAGACCTGGGCTATCAACTGACTAATACAACCGGGTGTAGGACCTTAGACAAATCCCTTCATCGACCGAAACCTCACTCTTCTCCTGGGTAAGATGACAACAACATTTCTAGAATGATCAACAGTAACTCTTGTTCTGTAGTCCCTTACATGTGCATCCCTTAGCACAGCAAACATTTACATAGCATTGTAAGGTTTGTAAAGTGCTTTACATAGGTTCTCCCATTTGATTCTCAGCCTTGGCAGGTAGGTGTTTTATCCCCATTTTACAGATGAGGAAACTGTAGAAAGCAGAGAGGTTATATAACTTACCTAGAATCACACAGATAGTGTCTGAGGCTAGATTTGAACTCAAGTCTTTCTGATTCCAACTCTAGCATTGTATTCGTTTTATGGATGAAGAAACCTAGTGTCAGCGAGTTAAGCTATTGCCCATAGAAACAGCTGCCTGAGTCAGGGCTCAAACACAGGTTTTCCAAGGTATTGTGGACGGACTCCAAGGTTATTTCCGATAACCCTGTTATATATTCCAATAATCCTGTTATTTCCTGGTTATATCTATCAACTTGGATACAGAAAAGTGTTCTGAAATGGATTTTGAATGCATCACACCAATGCCAGGTCTTATGGAACTAACAAAACGCCAGGCCATAGTCCCAAGGTAAGGAATCAGATTGTTAAGGTTCTTTCTGGTCCTTCTCTCCCTGGCAGTGCCTCAGCCTTAGCAGGCCAGAGGGCCAGCCATGAGGAAAGCCTGCCAGGGGAGTAGAGAAAGAAAAGAGGGAAAGTAGATCTGTTGGCCTGACAGTTAGATTTGCTTCAGGCATGAGACGCTAGAAAGAACACCAGCTTGTTGATGGAGAGACCTGGATTCTAATCCTGGTTCTGCCACCTAACTAGCTATGTGACCTTTAGTGAGTCCATTACCATCTCTGGGTCTCAGACTTGTCTTTTTTAAAACAAGGCATTTGTTACTGGATGTTCTCAAATGCGCCTTTACTGTTTTTGTTTTTCCGCTATTTCCTAAGATCCCATCTGAATGTGTGATCTGACCTAAACAGAGGAGATCTGTGCTCTGACCCCTGAAGACCTAACCCTGAGGCCAGAAGGGAGGCCTTCATTCTAGACCAGAGCTGCCACTGTGGCTCCATCCATCCCTTTAAAAAAAAATGCCCAAGCTCCCATCTCAAATTACAGCCGCAATCTCTCAGCGCTTCCCCTCCCCCCACACCCAAGTCCCTATTTCTCCAAGCCAGGCTAGGAAAGGGGGCAGGGGTACACAACCTTATTGGGCTTCATAAGCCGGCCCTCACATTCCACCCCTCTGTCTCCCTCCCGCTTTCCCAGCCTCCAGAGCCCTGGATGAGGATCTGGGGGGAAGGGGAGGAAAGGGTGGCCAGATCTTGGAATCTCCCTCTACCCTTAGGAGAGGTCATGATCAGTAAGACGCTTCCCCATTGGTCAGACACCAATGGAGAGTGGAGGGAAGAGGCCCAGGGCCCCCTCTTCTCCCCCCCCCCATTAAGCATCTGCTTATTGTAACCTCACTAGTGGGCAAAGAACAGAGGCTAGAATCTTAGAGTCTCAGAGCTGGAAGAGGGAGGGAGCTTAGAGATCATTTAGGCTCACTGGATCCTAAGTGAAGAACTTTTGGAAAGGGATCTTAGGGGTCGTGTAGCCCAAAGCCCTCATTTTACAAGATGAGGAAACTGAGATCCGCCAAGTCAAAGTGACCTGCCTGGATCACCCCAGTTTAGTAAGAATCAGGATTTGAACTCGGCTCTTTCCACTACACTACATGCCTCCCATCTAAAAGGGTTGTGTATTAGCTATGCGTATTTTAAAGATGGGGAAATGGAGGCCTAGGGAGAGCAAGGGAGGAGAGAAGAAGCTGGAGACACAGCTCCCTTGCCATTGCCCTAGAATCCAGAATATCCTGATGACTTTACCTAGCCCATCCCTACCTCTGGGACAGTGGAGATTTGGTACAGAAAGGACCAAGAAGGGGAAAAGGTCTTCTACCTCCCTGGTGTCTTCTACTCCAGCTCCCACATTAAATCTGAATGGAACTTCAATCCTGTAAGCTCCTTGAGGGCCAGAACAATTTCTATTGTTTGTCTTTCTCCTCAGCACTTTCTACACAGTGGGTACTTTAACAAATGTTTGTTGAATTGAAGTGAACTGACCAGATTACCGCCTGGTCAGGAAGTTACTCTCTGCTGGGGAGGAGGAGTATCTCACCCCAGGGACCAGGCTGCAATTGGAAGATGGAGGGAAGCCAGATGCATCCCAGCACGAGACAGCCAGCCCAGGGCCCTGACTCAGCATTTTGCTTCCACTGAAGGCTGGAAGGCCAGCTCGAATTCTAAGTATAGGCCCCAAGAGTGATGCCTCACCTTCCCTAGGGTCAGCCTAGATCCTAGCTGGAAGAGGAATCAATCAGAGAAAGACAAGCTCCCCAGAGCAGAAGGGGGATTGGGAGACCCCTGCCAAAGCATCCCCAAGGATGCCCTGGCCACAAGGTGTTAGCTTCCTATTAAGGGTGTCCTGAGGCGTGAGTGTTTGCCACTAGCCCTAGATTCTGAGGCCAGAAGACCAGCAACCAGCACTAGAATCTCAGGATTCTATTCTTCTTCCCTTTGTTTCCTAGAGTAGTTCCAAGAATGGGAACTGGGAAGGCCCTTTGATATACAAAGAAGCACAAGATCAAATCTCCAGGTCACTCCCCTACAGGCCTTTGGCTAAGTAAATCCCAGGGTGAGCACAGTGAGGTAAGGAAGGCCTTTCAGAATCACTGAAATGCATATAAATACCACAGGATGTGGTGGAATGAGCTGGACCAGGAGTTTGGAAAGGTCTAGGTTTGACTACCACCTCAAGCACTTACTGGCTGGGTAGGACATCATCCCATTCAACCTCTGAGCCTCAGTTTCTTTATCTGTAAAAAAAACCAAAAACAAAAACAAAATCCCAAAAGGAGCCAGCCTCTGAAGTTCCCTTCAGCTCTAGTCCTATTATCCTAAGTCATTCAACCTCCCTGTATCTCAGTTTCTTCATCCGTAAAATGGAGATAATAACACCTTCGGTACTTAAGCCTCATGCTTGTTCCAACTCTACAAACTCTAAGGAGCATAAATGTGTCTGTTATCATGGTAACCTGTGTGCACTCTGACCCTACTGCTAAGATCCCGGGGATTGATCAGAAGGGTCAAAACTCATGCTCTCAATCCAATAGTTTATTTCATTCTCCCTTGTTGGAGCTTGGCAAATTTTTTTTTAATCAATGGAATAGAAAATACAAGTATAAACAAGCCCTTCTTCAATTCTAAATAATGCCATTTTGGGGGTGCTAACAGTCCCTAATGAAAATAGGAACCATTAATTGAAGGAACCACTGGATCGAAAACAAATGATTGCAGATTGCTTTAGCCATGCCTTTTAAGGTGCCCTGAGAGGAGAAAACTAGCTAATGTTTCTACAGCAGGTGCTTTATATCTATTATTTCCCAACAACCCTGGGCCATAGGTTAAGCAGCATGATCTCCCATTTGAGGGTTAAGGAAACAGGGCTCAAAGACCAGCAAGTTAGAAAGTAGCCAGCCTCTCCACTCAAACCCATCATTTTCCACTAACCAGGCTGAATCAGGAGCCTTCTGCAAAGAATTGTGGACCATCTAGTATGTATGTGCCCAGGAAATAAGGCACATCAAATCAGACAGAATTCAGGAGAGCCTGCTCCGAGTGGAAGATGGGCAATGTTTGGGGCGCCTTTTCCCAGCCTGTTTTGGGAGTCTAGTTGTTTTTCTCTGTCCTGACTTTAAGACCACAGGGCCATCCTATCACCATTGTCCTAATAGTCTCTTTTACCACATGGGACACTTCAGCCCCTGTCTATTGCCCCGCCCAAGATGGAAGAAGCAGGGTCCTGATATCTACTTGCAAGAGCTCAGAGTTCCATGGCACTCTACATCTCAACTCCTATCTCCTATCTCCGGTCACATCTGAGGAAAGAGGGTAGGTCCACAAACAGTGCCAGGCAAGGGAAGTAGGGAGGAAACAAAAACTCAGGTCCTTTTGGGCCAAGGCAGGGTAAAACTCTTTAGTAGCCTCGTTTACTCCTTTATAAAAATGAGTAGGTATGACTGGATGCTCTCTAAGTTTCCCTTCAGCTTTGACAGCTTGACAGCCACAAGAAAAACTCCCACTAAATTTGGCCTAAGACACCCAGAGTTCAAATCCCAACAGTACAACCAATAATCTCACGTGACTTGGGATTCACTAGTTGTAAGATGGCATTAGTAGTACTTATATTACTGATCTCACAACCAATACTGTGATAAAATAAAGGCTCAACACATATCACCTGTGATTATTTTGAGATACCATAGGCTTCCCCCACCACCTCCACCCCCAATCTATAATCTCCATCTCTGTGCTGTTCTTGGGGGAGGGTCAGCTCAAAGCAAAGGCCCCATTGGTGGGGTAGGAGAGAGGGAGATATCTAAGAACTTGAGGGTCTCCCAAATAAACTGGGTATCCCCACTCTCCCTGGGAACAAGGTCACAAGCAGACACCCTAGAGGTGGGGGAAAATTCTCTTCGGGAGGAAGAGGCATCCTTCAGAAAACAAACTCCTTCACCACCAAGATAGTGGGAATGTCACCTCCATAAACCCTTCCATCCAGTTCTAGGCTCTGGGGTGATTCCACCCTTAGCTACCTAGAAGGCTGCCCCACCCTCAGCCCAGGCTGGGAAACTCACCAGTCAGCTGCATCTGGTACTGGGGAGTAATCATCCTGAAAGGAGGTTAATGGGGGGGGTCCTCACCTTGGGACTAGCCTTAGCTTCCACTGAGAAGAGAAGCAGCTGAGGGGGACCAGAGAGGAATGGAAAGCTTTAGGTTTCTTACTGTGACTGAGAAAACTGCTGATACAGAGCTTGAGGCAGAGCCGGGAGAGATAGATAGCTAGGTCGACAGCGACCTAGGGGTGGGACTAACTCCAAGCACCTGGAAGCCTCCAGCCTTGCCCCAAAGGATCTTGGGAGTGGGTGTGGCTGATGGATGAACTTTATATAAGGAAGGATGGAGGGTCCCTGCCCTAAGGGGACCTAGGTCTCCCTTCTCTTTGGAGACAGGAAGGTCATTATCCAATTATGTAGGGGAAACCACCAGTCTTAGTTCACTCCCAAATAGCTGGTCCCTTTGCCCAGAGATCGTTGGCTGGTTTTCTCTCCGTCCCCTGGAGTTGGGCTGGCTGGTTGGGGTTAAGAAGATGCTTTGAGGTCTTCCTTCTCCTTTGGGTGAAATCCTCTGCCCATGGCTTTGTGCCCTAAGAAGTCGTTATGTGTATGGGGAGGGATCTCATCCCCTGGGAGAGGGGGAGAGTACTGTAATAGAGCAGAAGACTCAAAGTTAAACCCTAATTCTGGCACTTGTTACTTGTGGGACCTGAGCAACTCATCCCCTCCGATCCTAAAATGGTGGTAATATCGACATGACTTCTCTCATGGGGATGATGTAAGGTTCAAGCAAGACAAGGGATTGAAAGCATTTTGTAAATGATGTGAATGCCAGCTGTTATTATGATGGATTTTGGGAGGCTGGTGTGGGGACATAGCCTGAAGGCATGAGGGTCCCATATAGTGAGGCAGGGAAATGGGGAAACTAGAGGGGTCTCAGAAAGCATGAGGCCTAATTGTTGGGTAGGGGAGGTAGAAATCAGAATTGTTGGTCTCTTGAAACCCTGGATAGGGGCTGGAGGTAGGCTGTAGAATCTCCTGACCCAGCTGCCATCTGCCATTTCAATCTCTCTTTTCTATGGGATTTGAGAAAACAAGGTGGTGTATTGATAGAGCATTGGATTTGGAATCAGACCTGAGTTCAAATCCTCCCTCAGACTGTAGACCTTTGAGCAAATCACTTAAGCTTTCTCAGCCTCAGTTTTCTCATCATTTAAGTAGATATAATGAGCACTTAACTCACAGGGTTGTAGAGAGGATGAAATGAGATAATATATGTAAAGTGCTAATATAAATGCTCTTTCTGAGCTAATAGAGTAACCATTTCCTAAATTGGGAGAAATTACCCTCTTCCTTACAAAGTGTATGGTTTTGTGGGGATCCCCCCCTTATTGGGAGCTGAGGGCTCCATTAACCAGGTATGAGTTTTAAGCTGGCTATACCTATCTAAAAGGGGTCACAAGAGTGGGAAAGAGGACCTCCCAAGGCCAGTCTGTTTCTTACTGAATCAGCTTCCATTTGAGTTAGGGGAGGAAGGGATTTGAGTCTGTTGAGGTGAGATTTCCCAGGGTGTCCATATGCACTTTCCAGTATCTCTCTCTGTTCCTCCCTTGCCTCCCTCCTCTCCCATCAGCTATGAGCACTTTGAGGAAAAATCCAATTGTTGCCAGTTGGCCCAGTGAGCCCAAGGGGGAAGTATTTCAGTGGGGTGGGGCTAGTCCTGGAGGGTCTGGGATGGGCAACCATTGGGCATGTGGGCAAGCTCCCGTTCCTAGCTACCCTCATCAATTTCTGCACCCCCCCACACCAGTTCATTAAAAGCACTGTAGCTTGGCCCCCTAGGCAGACCTTCTTCTGCTCCCCAGACAGTCATTCTTGACTAAGAACAGATACTCCAAAAGCTTCCTTAGGTCTATCTCTTTCTTCCTTCAGGTGGGTTTCCTTTGCATGCCCACATGCCTTCAAGGCCTACTTTTCCTTCTCTCCATCTCTCCTGTGTCTATCCCCTCAAGCTCAGTCCTTTCTCTAGTACTCTTTGTGCCCTCCAACTTTGTCCCCATACTCAGGACCTTCATGGTTGTCTTTACCCCAGCCTCTCTGTTCCTGAGGCCATGGGTACCTCCCTCCTAACCCCAGGGGAGCAGCTTCATGTGTTTAGGTCATCTGAACACATTCATAGGGAGCTCTGGGAATGCCTGTCCTTAAACTGGCAGAGTAATTCCTTCCCATTTGTGATATTCTTCTCCCTTTATCAAAACAAAACAAAACAAAGCAAAGCCAGGAGCCAATGAGCCGGGAAACTACAAACCGGGCTGGGGCCTAGGACTCATAAGGTTCAAGTGGGCCATTTTGGGAAACAGTTACTCCTTTGGCTCAAGATAAGAGGGATAGGTAAGCTATGATTTTGCTCAAAGCATGCTCCACGGAATGGGAGATCATGGGATCAGACCCCTGGGAAATACACAAGTTCTTTCCCTAATCTGTAACCCCTCTTAAGGGGCTGGGTAGAAATCTGAAGGTGGCAGTCTGTAGGAAACTGTACCCTGGGTAGTGCTTAGCTCAAGCACTGGGATAGTGCCCTTAAGCTCAAGGGCAGAGAGGGCAAGGGCAGGGCCAAGGGGATAGGAAAGAGATGCAAATCTTCATAGCTCCACAGACAACCTCCCTTCCAGTCCACCACCTCCCCCCGCCCCCCCCAAGCCAGACCCGAGGCCTAATCTATTCCTCCTCCTGGTGTACAATTCCACTCTCCAGTCACCTCTTTACTCATCCCTGAGAGATTCCCACCCATTTCCAAACTTCCCTTCCTTCCCAACCGTGTAGGTGTCATTATCCCCCCACGACCCGCAACCCCCCCCGCCCCTCCCCACACACCTTCTAGCCCAGAAGGGACCAACGAGGATGACAGGAGTAAAGGAGGAACGATGTGGGCTAGGATAGAAGATGGGGTAGGGGAAGGAGGCTTAGCCTGGAAATTAAGCATAAGACAGTCAGAGACCAGAAGGGACTGAAGGAAAGAGTGTAATGCAGGGAGGGGGCAGAGTGGGCTGAGACGGGGAGCAGAGACAGAGAGGGTAAAGAGCTGGAGGAGAAAGGAGAAGGAGCAGTGAAGCAGAGAGCTAGGCGCTGGGGGATGAGGAGGGCCACAGGGATGGAGGGAAGGATGCCAGAAGGGCAAAGGCGGCGGACGGCAGGGACGGCTCGGGGCCGCGCTGTCATTGACCCCTCCCTCTTGGCTCCTCGGACCCCAGCCCGGCCGCCTGACCCTCCCTTCCTCCCCTACCCTTCTCAGGTGCGGGCCCCGCTCTCTCGAGTTCTCACCTGTGCGAGGGCCCGGGCCACCCCCCGCGGGCAGCAGCAGCTCGGCGCGGGCCGCCTCCCCGGGCATGCTGGCTGGCTGGGGGCCTGGCGGGGCGGACTGGGGGACCTGGCGGATCCGCGGTGCGGCCCCTCCCTCCTCCCCGCCCTCCCCGCCGCTGCCTCCTCGCTGCCAGCAGGGTGGGAGTGAGTGAGTGAGTGAGTGTGTGTGTGTGTGTGTGTGTGTGTGTGTGTGTGTGTGTGTGTGTGCGCGCGCGCGCGCGCGTGTGTGTGTGTGTGTATGGGGGGGGTCAGGCCAATGATGTCACCGCTTACTCCGTCCCCTCAGCCCCGCCCTCCACGGTCCCCCTCCACCTCCCCCCGCCGAGTGTGTGCCAGGCACTGCAGAGCCCGCGGTGGCGGGGGAAGGGACGGGATGGGACCAGGATCGGGGGTGGAGGGAGACGTAGAGAACCAGGACAAGGAGATGGAGGAAGGATGGGGAGGCATCAAAGGGAAGAGGTGAGGGAGGCCAAGGCTGCCAGAGGGCCCCCCTCCCCCCATCGCCCCCGATGCTCCACTTTGGTGTTCCCTGTCTTAGGTTTCCGTCTGCCTCCTGCGTGCATGGGTGGGGTGCTTTGCACAGTCCCGGGGTCCTCCTGTCCCAGGCAGCCTGCAAGCATCGAACAAGGACATAAACGAGCCCGGGCACCCGAACTGACGGGGGGCGCCATGTCGCGACTGACAAGCTCTAGCCTGCAGGCAATGGGGCTCAGTCATCCCAGGGGCAGCTTGGCAGTATTGAGAGAGGGCTGGTCTTCGGAGTCCAACAGAGCAGAGCTCAAATCTAGCCTCTGACACCCGTTGTATGATCACCGGCAAGTCACTCAATCTCCATATGTCTAGTTTTCTCTTCCCTAAAAGGGAGGCAACAATGTGCACAGGTGGTAGTGCCAGTAAAAATAGGTCCAGTCCAATGACCCTATTTACCATGTATTTTTACTAGACCTATAGGATATATATATATTCATACATATATATATATACACACAATATATATATATATATATATATATATATATATATATATATATACACACACACACATACATATAAATATATACGAAAGAGCCCTTCTCTGAGCCTCTGTTTCCTCATGTGGCTATTATGAGAAAAATTCTTTTTCAACCTAATAGCTCAATTTGAATGTGAGGTATTATTAACACAAAAATAAAGCTTCTCCCCCTCCAAAAAGAAAAAAGCAAAACAAACAAAACTCCCTGCTTCTTTTGTTGTTAACCTGCCGCAGCTCCTATGCTTAACCACCCATCAGATCACAGAGGTGCGCAGTGCAACGTCCTCCCCCCCCATTATAAAACTTCCCTCTCCCCAGGATGACAGCTACTCTTCCCTCTCCGGACTCCGGATTGGCCAGTTCCAGACCATATCATCAACATCTCTAGAACCATTTAGCATTTCAAAAAGATTTACAAAGTACTCTTTTCTCGGACTATTTTATTTGAGCCTCACAACTCTATGAAGTAACCGTGACAGGAATTATCTCCATTGTACAGATGAGGAAATAAATTCAGACTAAGTGACTTGTCCTTTCTCACAGTGTCAACTGACCAATTCAAACCCAGTTCTTTCTGACTCAAAATTTAAAGTGCTTACCAAGGCACGATCAGCTCAGAAGGGACACGCCCCTCTCAGAACTTGTATGCAAAGCTTACCATATGCAAAATGGGGAGGTTGGACAAGCTGAGGGGTGTCTAGGTGGTGCAGTGGTTAGAGCATCCTGCCTGGAGTCAGGAAGTTTGGGTTGTTGAGTTGTGACCTACTCTTTTTGACCCCAGCTGGGGTTTTCTTGGCAGAGATACTGGAGTGATTTGCCATTTCCTTCTCCAGCTCATCTTACAGATGAGAAACTGAGGCAAACAGTATTTAGTGATTTGCTCAGGGTACCACAGGAAGTGTCTGGGGCCAGATCTGAACTCAGGAGGATGAATCTTCCTGACTTCAGGACTGCCACTGCCACCTAGCTGCCCCTCAGGAAGACCTGAGTTCAAATGTGACCTCAGATACTACACTTAACCCATTCGCAGCAGTTTCTTCATCCATAAAATGGAGATTATAATAGCATCTACCTCCCGGAGTTGTTATGAGGATGAAATAACTGTGAAGTGCTTAGTTCAGAGCTAGGGGTGGCAGAGACTTTAGAAATCATGTGGTCCAGCCCTTCATTTTATAGATAAGAATACTGGGCCCCACTGAGGGAAGCAAATTTCCCCAAAGCCTGGTCCTCTGATTGCAGACTAATGGCTCTTTCCACTACCTTATGTTGACTCCTCTTTCTGAAATGCCATGCTGAGGGGAAAGGGAACCAAAAATAGATTATTAGTCCTTTTCCCCGTCATGTAGCTGGGGCTAGGGAGGAGGTGTGGTATAGTGGAAAACAACTCTATATAACAATTAGCTCCTCTCATCCAAGAGTCAAAGCTAGATTATAAAGGGGTGGAACTCAGAAAAGATTGGTCCTCCCAGTTATCCAGTAGTGGTCACCATGGAAACCACTTCCCAGTTGCCTGGTAACCACAGGGCCCAGCTGCATCAGCAGCCATTTCCAGAGCAATAAGGGAAGAAAGGAGGTAGGGCTCACTGGGATCAGGTGAGGGAGGAGGGCTCTTGGGCAGAGATCAATGATTTAAAAGACTGTAATTAGGTAATTTTTTCTACCTCCCCCCCCCAATTGAATAACAGAACTCTCAGCTGGTACTGAAAAATAGCACTGTATTTAGAGTTGGAGATCTGGTCTGGTCTGTTATTTTTGTTGCATGACCTTAGGTAGATCACTTTACCTTTTTTGTTGGGGGGGGAAGGCTCAGTTTCCCAATCTGTGAAATTATATTTTTCAGCTCTAAATTCTACCATTTTATAGATATTTCTAGTTGTCTCTTCCACCCAGAAATCCATACATATTCAGAACTGAACTCTTTCAAATTTTTGTACTTCTGTATGTCTCCCAGGTAGAAAACTTATAATCATTATTGTTTCTTCCTTCTCTTCACTGGGGGCAGTGTGGTGTAATGAAAAGAATATTGGACATCAGGAGTCAGGACTGCATTGAGTCCAGTCTCTGATGCCTGACATCTGGTGAAACCTATGGATCCTTCCTTTCTCAGAATTAAAGTAATTGTTCTTAAATGCATGAATATTCTCAGAATGTTCTAAAATGCATAAAAAATACATAGGAAACTAATTACATCGAAAGGTACCAAAATATCTTACAAAAACATTTACAGACTAATTTGAATATCTCTGCTCTAGTCCAATTAGATGATTTCACAGATTAAGAATTTAGCCCAGAGCAAGGTCATACCAGTAGTCATGCCAGAGGTAGGTTTTTGTGGTGCTAAATACAAAAGCAGCCTTCTTCCCATTCTAGTTGATCAGCCCACTCGTCTTTCCCCTTGCAATCCATTCCAGATTTGCCCCAGTAACATTCCTAAAACACAGCCACTGGAATTCACCTTTATCATCAAGTGAAGGCCTTAACTTCTTTCCCTGGCATTCAAGGTCTTCTATGTGTTTGGACCACCTTTGCAACCTTATCCTACTGTACAAATTAAAACATACAGGGATGCGCAATTATGCAAGAGAACATCAACATTCAGTCTCCAAACGAGGTCAGAATTAAGATCAATGGGTAGTGTTTCTGTGTGTGCGTGTGTGTGTGTGTGTGTGTGTGTGTGTGTGTGTGTGTGTGTGTGTGAGAGAGAGAGAGAGAGAGAGAAGAAGGGAGGAGGCTCTGGGAAGGGTGAGCAGGTGCTCATTGCAGCCAACGTTAACGATTAACAAAGTTAGAAAACAGACTGGCCTCCCTTTGAGACTTTCTTCTTCAGAGGGAATCTGATTTTCAAAAGATAACCACTTGTCTGGGACATTGTAAAGGTGATTGTTGCTTCCAAGCTTAAGGTTGGAGTAAGAGGCCTCTGAGGTCTCTCTTAACTGAAAACCTGATTCATATTCTTATTAGTCTTACAGAATAAATTATTACCCCCTATGTGGAATGCCCTTCCTCCTCCAAAGCTCAGTCTGAGTGCCACACAAGCAACCACCCAAGACAAAATCCCAGCCCTGGGTGATGCCTCTTCCAAATCTTTAATAGCTATATATCCTTCACCTGACACATGCCTTTGACAGTATGACTTTAAGCACCATAAGGATAAAGACCATGGCTTACTCCTTTGAGTTTTATTTGGTGCCTGGTTTATGTTTAGTTTAAAGGATCTGGTGCCTGCAGCATTCACTTGGAGTTCAAAGTTCAGACCAGAACTAGGGATTTAGGAGTCACTTGCATGTTTTCATGAGTAAGATTACCAAGTCATAGGACTAAGTACATGTACATATATGTGCATGTGTGTTTTAAGGTTAGGGTTAATGCAATGGGAGAAACTTATATCCAGAAGGCAATAGCCCAGCAAGAACAGAAAAAACAACCCTGCCCCAAAACCCAAGTCAAATCCCAGGTCCTTCACAATGTTTCTACCTTCTCTGAATTCACCCTAGTCAGTAAGCAGTGGACTTCGACGCCAGTACAAGTCTCAGCTTTTCCATTCATTAGCTGTGAGCTTGTGCAAATAACTGGTGAGCTGTAGTTCGCAAACCTTTAACCATGTTGTTATGTGGCACAAAAAAATATAGTTTTATAATAAAGGGCCATTTAAACACATACATTACAGGTCAGTTTTTTTTGCATTCAGCTGAACTTGCGTTTCCTGAAGGGAAGTAGCTTCACTCACTCCTGCCCCACCCAACCATACCTAAACACAAATTTTTTTCATGAATCTTGCTAATAGGTCAGAAATTGACTCCCATGTTTAAGCTGCCTCGGGGTACCTATGCAGGGAGGTAGGCTAGACTAATTATAGGGAAACCTTCCATACTGTGGGAAGCATTCTTTTAAACCTTTTTAATAAAACTGAAAATATTTCAGTAACCTAAAATCCTTTGACAGTCAGTGAGCCTTCCCTGGGGAATGAGAATAAATGTAATAATTGGGCTATGGACTCATGAAAATGCAGCCTCCTCCTTGTCTATCTCCTGAACTATGAGCCACCCGTCTCCATTGAGAAAAGATTCAAGGAATTCCCTTTGTTTACTCCACCACAACACTTGGAATGGTCCAGGGAAGAAATGAGTATTGACCACTTTGGAATGTTAATCTTAAATTCTAGTTTAACAA